TCTTTGTTTTTCTTTACTTAGTAAAACTTGAGCACATTGGTTTTCTCGACAGGTGTGTGATTAAAAGGCTTCGGGCGCACTATATGCAAATTAATATTTTTGCCTTGCGAAAATCGTGTATTTAAGCTTGAGCATTTTCCAGTCTACTCTGCAACTGCAGCGTTCGTTATGAATTATGGCGTTCGAGATGTAGATTGAAGACAACGAAAAAGTCCGATAAGGTTAGCAGTCTTTAACCCTTGGTGAAAAACTGAACTAAAACACCTTTTTTTCTCCTCGGGAAAAAAAGGTAGGAAAATCTGCGTGGGGAGAGATCACTTTTCTGGAAAATGGAATCCTTTTTGTCTCTTGATGAACTATGTATTAGTTTCTCGGATCACGATTTGAGAACCAGCGCTGATTCCAGAACCCAAGACCAACATGAAAAGGATTCTTGCTACTTACTAAAGGACAGTAAAGACCACCGAGGCTCGCTTTGCGTGCGGGATGACTTTCATAAACAGAGAAAAGACAAAATGAAAGAATTCCATCTTGGAGCCGATAATGTCGTGGCAAAACACGATAGTCGAAATACATATGCATGCAAATTACCAGATATAAAACCCACCAATAAATCGATGCAAATGATTCATGTTATGGCGGGGAAAATGGGACGCAGTCGAAAGTTTTACTCCATCAATGCGGACGATTTCACAGTTGGATCAAAGCCAGGGACGTTTAGTGATCTAAGAAGCGAGGAAAGAGAAGAGCTGAACGCCAGCAGAAGACGCCGAAATCACTTGCCACTTGGGGAAAGTAAAAATTATTCTGGTGGACAAAACTGGAAATGTAATCCTGCAAATGATGCGAAGTCTCTCATGGCTAATTGGACCAGGGGAATAGAACCGTACTCCGGCTCGGCGCAGAGCGGGTTCTTGGCAGCCTCACAGAGGAAAATCTTTTCCCCTCGTCAATCAGTGAAAAGTGGATTTGCTGAGACCTTACAAATGGATTTACCACAAAAGGTTACTAAATTTCTAGAAATGGAAATCTCGCTTATCAAGGGAAGAGAGAAAACAAATGCGATGCAAAAGTGTAAAGGAAGTGTCTTTTCCACCTACCGTGCTTCTGATAACCCGGAAGATGTCGATCTTAAATTGATAAAAACGAGAAAATCTTAGGATTCTGCCTATCTTGACAGGATGGAAAGATTATAGAAATGCAAACTCCCATTATGTACGTAGCTGGTGAAAACAGCCGCCTCTCTACATCCTATCGCCGCTAGGGACGTTTCGAGAGAAAACGTCCCTAGCGGCAACGAGCGAGGTGGGTGGACGCCTGTTTTCGCTGGTTACTCACCCGGGGGTTCTTTAGGAATGTCTGGGTGGGGATGTGCCGCTGGGACCCTGGAACCCTTAACCTATACCAGAGCTAGTTCAGCTGAATTTTGCTACCCCATACTAGGGAAAACTCCCCAAATCCCCCCTATCCTAGAGTAGCTGTTTTCCAGAAACTACTGAGGTCACTAGCACAGTAGTCTAGCCAAAACAAAACCTTATCCCACAATCGCTAGTCTAGATAAAATCTTCAACCAACTGATCAGTTTCCTGAAAAATGATACCCTATTCTAGACCCAAACGCTCTGATTTATATACCCTATCCTAGAGTAAACTGCTAGAAAACCATACTCTTCACAGCGGCACGTACCTATATAGCCCATATATGGCAGTATTCCCCCCGAGGCTACTCATTATAAACACTAACTTGTTGAAACGGTGTGTGTGTTGGCGGGCACCCCTTGTTCAAGACTGCAACGATAATATTTATGATAAAAAATAATAAATGATAATTTAAAAGTAATTAAAAAGGATGAATAAAATGAAAACACATTATGTACCCTGGTATATTGTTTCGTAGACGAGAAAAAAAAAAATTATAGCAATTCTTTACTGAATTCTGTTGAGACCTAGTCTGTCACAAAACCGGACCGTTTTTAGTGTCGTCACGCAACGCTCCGTAACGTTTGTGGAGAGGAGCGTTGCGTGATGACACTAATAACGGCTGTGTAGCAGACTACATTTGTAGTTGAGACCCCACTTTACGGACAGCCGCTTAAAGGAGCCGTGTCACGCAGTTAATCAAAATTCAAACAATTGGACCCGGGGGTACTCCTGGGAATACTCAGTGGGGTTGTGCCGCCTGGTTCTCCAAATCCTGACCCTATTTCACACCCGTTTTTAGACCAGACCTCTAAAATCCATACCCGTTTTCAGACCTGGCCTTTAGTCAGAAATTATGTTATCATTTCTTAGATTAGAGCACAAACATACAGATTCTTCAAATTCATTTCGATTTAGCATATTTTTCTTTCTTTCTTACTCATTTGGAATTGAAACGATAAAGACGTTCATACAATTCCGTAGTTCCCTCAAAGACCATACCCGATTCCAGACCAAAATGGGCAAAGTGTATACCCGTTTTCAGACCAAAACGGCGCAAAACCCCTACCCGATGGGGCGGCACATACCCCATAGCTTATTTAAGGGGGTGCCCCCGAGCAATTGGAACCGTCACCAAACTGAGTGAAACATAAAAATAGCCGCTCAAAACATTAAAAGAAGGTATGAATAAAACAGCTCACTCAAAAGGAAGCGAGAGGGGACCAAGAAAATTTGAAAAGGATTGCAAATGTGCTTTTTGAAAACCTGTTAGCCTCACAGTTTTTCAAAGTTCATTTTTCGTGTTTGTAGCATTTGAAATAACGCTTCATACGCTCGGGAGACATTTTTGTTTGACATGAAGCGATGATTTTGCCATTCACAAGTAATTTTTGAAGTTCCATAGCGAATAAAAGCTAATAAAGACGCATAACTAGCATTATTAATAAGATGAACTAAACAAGAGTGACACAAGCGGACAGCTCGTTATTACGGACACTTTTCTTTGTCCTTGGGAAAGACTTTACATTTTCTCTAAATTCAACCCGCTTAATACCGACCGAGCCCGTTATAGCGGACAACAGCCTGCGTTGCTGGAGGATTTTTTGATGCGTTTCTCATTTGTTGTTCGTAAAGGGTTCGTATTAAAACCGGTTCGTAAAGTAAGAGATACAGCCGGGCGAAAGCTGAACCGAGGACGAAAAAGAAAATGTTCTCCATTGATATCGCGCGTTTTCTAGTTTGACCTCGCGCGCGGATGTCTCTCTAACACACACTGGCTACACAGAAAAAAACTCACCAAAGAACCACCAGCTACGCAGGCTATGCGAACAACGGACAATTGTTTCTTGCCTAATCAACAGATTCTCATAGAAAGACAACCTCGCTAATGGCAACACTTCATTATTAACTGTGTGCTGTAATAGACCTAGTCTGCTATACAGCCGTCACGCAACGCTCCTCCCCACCAGTGGGGAGTAGCGTTGCGTGACGACACTAAAAACGGCCACCCGTCACAGAACGTAAAACGTAATAAAAGAATCGTTGATAAACGTTGAGCAAGGCACATTTTAAAAGGCAAAATCACTGCACAAAGTGCTTTCTCCTTCCATAAAATTTTACTTTTATGTAGAGGGGCCTCCCAGGGGTTTTGGTGATCGAGGGAGTATGGGAAACAGAACCCGGCCGATACTTGTCATACTCATGTCCAAGGAGGTAAATTTAGAGGAACAGAGGATTGGCTCCAGGAACTGTTGAATATTATAAGGATCATGAGAAAGCTCCTTTCGCCTGAAAAACGCGAAAAAATCTAGACTACGAGTCTTATTTTTCTTTCAAAGTTAATGCACAAGAAACCCAAGCGAAGAAGCGGAGAGCGGCGAAGCCGCGAGCTGCGATAAACGAGGGCGTAACAGGCCCGAGAAGAAAAAAGTCTTTTCTCGTCTGGTCCTAATCCTTTATAGCCCCCGCTGGGATTTCGCCCAGAAGGCGAAATTCCGAGGAGGCACACTAGTCAACTCGCGCGTATATTAAGGAAAGTACTTACAGTTGAAATATACAGTCAGTGTGCCAGAAAAAATCTCGATTTGCTTGAACGGGCCGCGAGGAATCGGTAGGTAATGATGACGTTTCTATTGTTTGCGCCCACAAGTACGAAATGGTTAGGATGACGTAAAGACAGAAAATCCTGAAGGGACCGCCTAGGTAGATTTTGTGACATTTATTGTGCAGTCTTACTTCGATACTCTTTTGCGTTACGTGTTACCAGTGACATTCTGTGGAGCAGTTGTTTTGAAAGTTATGGACCAAAAGACACTCGTTAAGAGCAGACAGTAAACACTTAGAGAGTTTGCTAGCGGCACGAGTTCACAAATCGTTGATTGGAAACCTGGCCAGAAACTCTTTCTCTCTCTTTGACCGGAATAAGACTCAGCCCCAAACAAGCAAGATGAGTGAACAACGGCTAGCTTATCACTGGCAGAACGATGGACGATTACAGAAATTCGCCAACGATCATATTCTGTGCTGACTTATTCCCAGCTCACAGATGTCCTGCTGCTATAAAGTTTTTAAAAAATAAGACTAGAATGCGAGAGCGTGAATTGATCAAACGTCCTTTTAATTTCTAAGGGTTACTTTCCGGTAAATAAAATTAACCGAATGTAAAAAGTGAAGAGAAATAGCGAAAAATTCAACTTCTATTAAATCCTTTCTTATGGTTTAGAATAAACTATTCTCGAAATTAAGAATGTTTTGATCAAGACTGTGTAAATTGAACTAAAAATGTGCAGGGAACCTTGCTTTTCCTGTATTAATCGGACCTATTGTATGGAATGTGGGTGAAAATCTTCATTATGAATCGGTATATTTCAAAACACAACGAGCAAGAATACTATGGACCGACACTATACAGAGCGGGGGCAGCTGTACTGTCAACTATTACTAGTTGTAACATAACGTCGTGGTTTGCAACCCCGCTGGCTGAGATAAGAGAAAAGACGCACTGCAACTGCAAGCAGTCTGGAAAAATAAGGCCTGTTTTGTGGGGAGCAATAGACCTCGCCCCCACCACCGCCCCCTCCTCCTGTTGCCGAGGTAACTGACGCCTAATGGCGCGGATGCTAAGCTACAAAATATTTCCCATAATGTCTTTCGGTATTACTTCCGAGTACACCTCCAAGTGATACAGGAAAAATATTCCATTTTTCTGCAGTTAACAGAAATTGCTTTGTTCGTTTCTCTCCAAATGTAGGCGTCTTTTACGGCTCCAATCCAGCTGCTGTTGTCTTTGTTTTGTTATTTTATTGATATGAGTAAGTATCGCTTTCCCCTAGGCCTCGTAATCTGTTTTGAGGATGGCGTTGTCGTAATGAACCGAGGCGGTTCTCTAACCGGTCAATGAAGCGTAATTTAATCGGAGATGGTTCTTTGTTCCTAGGTCGCACAGCTCGCGTAACCTTCAGCTACAAGGCTGAACAAGACGACGAACTTTCTCTGGAAGTTGGAGACGTGATTAAAAATATAGTTGATACGGATGTAGGATGGTGCGAGGGAGAACTGAACGGAAAAAGAGGGATGTTTCCCAATAATTTTGTTGAGGAAATAGTTGTGGAGTCCTCCGATAATAACACCGATTCAGGTGAGAAATTTTCACGGCTTTTGCACGTTGGCATTTTTCCTTAATCCTCAGGTCGACCAAGGTTTTGTTTGGTAGAAATAACATGGTGAGTTCACTTTACACTCATGAGTTTATTATAACTTTAAGTGCATAGGCTTACGTATCCGCTGACTATTCAAGCTACGATGTGCAAGCCATTGATTTTCACGTAGTTGTTATTTTTAGGTTACCCAAATAGTAATTGTACAGAAATCGTGAGAAGTCACTATAAAGAGCGTCATAGATTCTTCTCAAGTATTTCCTGTTGCTTTTAATACACACGTTTGTTAATATTGACAGCTCGAGTACTCACGATCTCAGATCGTGGAAGCCTTAAATATTTGCAAACGTATAAGGTCATTCTGTAGTTTCACTTTCCTATAAGCTTTGCCCGTAAGCTTTAAGCTGACTTAAGTTTCAAGTAAAGAAGTCGCAGGTCTGGTGCATTGCAAATGTTTCTTTTTCACCGAGATTCAGATTTCTTCTGGTGATTTCTTGGATGTCAGTTGTAAATTGAAACGTTGGTTGAGAATGATTATGATGTTTATTTAAGCAACTCAGAAAAAAAAATTTCTTCCAAATTCTCCTAACAGGAGTGTCAAACTTATGAACTTCTGGTTACTGGTAAAGATTATAAATTCTATAGTACTGAGCTAAAGCTAATCATGTTAAACTATATGTTACAGCCCAGTCAAAATGAGGCAGCAGGCAGCAATTGTGCTGCTTTCAGTGGAATATGTGCCACCAATAATTGAATTATTCCACACTTGGGTTGAGTAATATTAAATAAAAGCCACACAAATTTAGGTCTTTGCTGCCTGTTTTTGTGGTTATCTTGCCAACTATTGTAAAAAGATCGCAAAGCATCGTACAGTCCTGCTGAGTGGTCAGTGCATCGGGTTTGCAATCCAGCGTCCCAGGTTTCTCTCACCACCAGCTGGAGTTTGTTTCTCAACTGGGGTGAATTCAAATTCTCTGCCTCACTTGTGAAAAGCCAACTGTCTCGCTAATGACTCTACTAACTACTTTGATTTTTGATTTTCACTAATTCAAGTCATAAGGGCTCTTTAAAACTCCAACTCTGACTCCATTGCTAATGAAAACCAGCCTTTAGAGCATTTGTTAGTCATAGGGCGCTATTTTAATTAATTAATAATTATTTTAGTTGCAGGGAAGAAGGCAAGAGTAACATTTGATTATGATGCCCAGGACAAAGATGAATTGACTTTAAAAGTGGGTGAAATCGTCAATGTTGTGGGTGAAGAGGAAGCAGGCTGGTGGAAAGGACAATTGGCCAACAAAACTGGAGTCTTCCCTTCAAATTTTGTAGAGCTCATTGATGAAAAGGATGCTGCACAAATGGAGACACAACACAAACATTCAGGTTCGTTGTAACTTGAGAAAACAGTCAACATTTTGCATTTCCACCATTGGTGTTCCTGCGAAATGAAGTCTGAGAAACAAGCCCAGAAATTCCATACTGATGACATGTCACTACCCAGATCAGGTGCTTCTGATTGATTGAAGTTATTTTCCTACGTGGCACGACCAATCAGAAGCACAACCCAGATCTGGGTAGAGATGTGTCATCAGTATGGGATTTCTGCACTCATTTCTCAGATGTCATTTTATAGGGAAACCAGTGGTGGTGTCATGACAATGTCAGCTGTTTTCTCAGGCTAGGTTTGTTGTACTCGTATGTAGATTCTTCATTTGCTCACCCTTGTACACCATACATGTACGTGTACACTGTATGCAACTGTTTGTTGGTAATTCCATTGTATGTCTAAAATAAACCATGTGTTTTTTGAGAAAATATCTGTACCCATCCAATGGAGGGGCATTGGGAATTCCAGGGGGTAAAGGGGCTCTCCCTTTTAACTCTTTGTCTTATAGACCATGTTATGGCGAAATATTTGTCATGTTTACTTTTAAATCTGTGGATGAAATCCTTATGGTATTACCATTCAAATGAGACCCCTTTGGCAAAACTTTTGCAAAGTGCTATTCATTTCTTAGGATTTTACAAAGAGGAATTTAAATGTTTTTGACTTTTTGTGTTTACAGTTTCCATAGAAACTGTATCACCATGCAGTCATGAAATGTTGTGTCCGTAATGTACATTAGTAAGAAAAGTGATAGTTCTTATGGCCAGATACAAAATACTGCATGATTCAGTTCGCAAACAAGGGGAGTCTAATGTGCTTTAGTCGTTCGTCATGTTTTGGTCAGTTTATTTTCTCTATAGTCAAAAGAGAATTTTGCAAAAGAGGGGTAAGTGTGCTACACAACATGAGGGTGAAGTGTGATCTGTTGCATTGAAGAAATTTTTCTCCTGATGCAAGAAGTCAGGCTTCATTTTTCTCTTTGACGCTAGTCATAGGCACACTAGACATGAAGGTGAAGCATAACTTAATGCACCAGATACAGTAAATAAGCATCACCTTGACCGTCAAAAATGTTTCTTCCATTCAGGAAATCACACTTTATTTTCTTTGACAAAAAAGGTTACATTTCATGCTTATATGACATAGAAAGCCAATAAAATCGCAAGTGCATTACAGACGTAACAAAAAGACGGTAAACACATGCTCTCTCAAGAGAGCTATTTTCCTTTCTTTGGCCACTATTGGGATTTGAAATAAATGTGTTATTAACAATAGATTTCTTAACAATACATTGTTTATTTTTTTCTTCAGTGGAAGCTACAGCACCTAGTGCGGAGCATCTGGATGGTTTATTGGATGAGGAGGAAGCTGAAATAAAAAGATCCTCCAGTGTGGGAGCATCTTCCAAGAAGTTACCTGGAGGGGGTATGGGATTTGGCAACCTTATCAGTGCTGATATTTTAGCTGAGAAGAGACTCAAGAAAGTCCATCACGATGACAAGAAAGAAAAGAAAGAGAAGAGTTCTGTCTTACACGCTGAACCAAGCAAGTCACCATCCACAGTGAAAACCAAAGCGCCTGCGACGGTAAGGAAACATTGTTCCAAAGCTTCTTCATGTCCTTCTTCACTTGTTTTTGGCCTATCATAGAATAATCCATTCTCATGGTTAATATCTTGGGATTTAAAGTCACTGACTTCCATTGCTTTTTCCTTTCCTTAGAGTGCTAAGTCAAGGCCAGCACCTCCTGTTCCTCAATGTCCACCAAGTAAGCACTTTACTTCAAGCCCCAATATCAACATACAAATTCTCCACGCTGAGCTCCATATACATATCCATGACAAACTAGTTGAGAGAATGTGTTTTAAGATCAAAGCATTTTCTCTTAAGTGATCATTTTATTAATTCTCATAAACATTTCTGTTGGCAACATATGGATACTGTTAGGAGAAACTTGATGTTGATCACTCCTGGGACTAATTAAGGTACACTGTAAATTTTAAAAGAGCACTTTAATACAGCACATGTTCATTAACCCATTTATTTTATTGATTAGTAATTTATGAATAAAGTACCACACTCTGGAATATCATTATTCATTTGTTAAATGTGCTGCTTTCTCAAACATGAAATCTAGATCTAAGCACTAGCAAAATAAGATTTGCAGTTACTGGAGATGATATCCTACCCCTCCTGTATGTTCCCTTACCTCTGATGAAATGTTGTTAGAAACTCTTGACTGGTGGACAGTCTGGACTAATACAGGTTTTCATTAAAAATTCCATCAGCAGGAGGAAGGTGTAACATCTCAGGAGAATATTTTGAAAGAGGCTACACGTCTGAATTGAAATAGTCATAATTTTATTCTACCAAACGTCAGCCAGAGAGTTGTGCATAATAAACGAAGGTTAATTCTCCAATATCTGATGCCCAATGAACCATGGTTTTCAATAAGAGCCAGTGGCCGACGAAATTCGCTAGCTTTTTCACATGAACTCACCACCTACTTTAAATACAGTATTCATGTGAGGTCACCAAATAAAAAAGCCAAAATTTAATGGTGTCTGTTTTTTGTTCAAACACTCCAGAATCCCGAAAATGCATTCTAAGAGGCCCAGATATCAACATTTTACAGGAAGGTTGGGGAGGGGGTGGGGGACTCTTGCCTGCAGCGCTCACAAGTTGCACCTTTGGTGCCAGTTTTTTCCTTCTCCGCCTATTCTAAAGCTTTTGCTACCTATTTATAACCTTATTGAAAACCCTCTTGAACACCCTGGTAATAAATCATAAACTTCACTATCTGCTCTAAGTTCAACCTATAGGTACACATGTACCCTGCGTTATAAATAATTATTGGATGAGGTTTTTGTTATTTGAATAATCAAAGTGGAGGTATTATCAGCTGAGCCAAAGGCCAAGGCCGATAACACTTATTGAGACCTTGATTATTAATTTTACGATATCACAAAACCTGAATCTACAAAATAAAATTATTGTTTTGAAGAAAATAATCTCACGGAACACGGTTTGACATTGCTCTTTGAAATCATGCATAGTGCTTGCAATCTACAGATTAGTCAGTAATCTGCTAGCAAATAACTGACAAATGTGTCGTTTGCCAGGGTGGATTTCCAAAATTAACCGTAGGCTTTTAGCCATAATACAAAGACAGATAGTGAGTACAATGTATAATAAGTCTTTTTGATATTGAATTCCCACACCCTCTACAGGTTGCTTTCAGTATAGGAAACATGTGATTAGGGTTTGAACCTCTGGAAATTTTTTGTTGGCGCATCATGTGTTACAGTGAAAATTTATTTTGTATGTTTCTCAATACACTGTTTCTCCTTTCGGTTAATTCCCATGATTATACAATTTCAAAACTTGTGATGTTATTATCATTTTTAGGCAAGAAGCCCAGTGAAAGAGCCAAAGTTATGTTTCCTTATGAACCTGAAAATCCAGATGAACTTAATTTAGTTGAAGGTGACATTATCACTATACTCAACAAAGATGTTCCTGAGAGTGATGGTTGGTGGGAAGGAGAGATCAATGGTAAAGTTGGCATGTTTCCTAACAACTTTGTTGAACTGCTCCCTGCTGAGGAAGAAGATGCGATGTCAGTGAAAGACAAAGTAATAATATTGATACTATTCATACCTGTTTGAACACGCGTATAAATTTGCTAGCAAGCATGACTGACAAAAAAAAATGATATTTTACCTCAGTTATGGTAGGATACATGAAACAGGGCCCTATTTTGCTTTCTTTCTGTAAACAATTCAATTTCACCAGCAAGTGATAAAATCCTTCATATTTGCTTCTCAAAATTTTTTTGTTCACAAGTTCAGAGCACTGGGCTTCCTTATATTTTTTGTTGCTAAACCCTTTTTCACTTAAAATGCCTTGAAATGCAATTTTCACATCAGAGCTCCCAAATTTCAACTTTTCCCAGGGAATCCCTTAGTGGAAGGGAGCTAGCGCTATAATGATCAGCTTGATCAGCTGTGCCATGTGAATGTCATTTTTTTTCTCTCCTACTGTAAATATTACTGGAGAACCCTGCTACAATTATATTCACTTTTCAGTAATTGGTTTTGCTTTTTAAGATTTCCATAACAAAAAAGGGGTAAACCTCCATTAAGCTTCTACCCTTGAGAAAGAGATATTTGGCCTCTTAATAATAATTGTTTAATGGTGAGAACCAGTTCTAGTAACTTGCTGCTTTATAGGAGGATGCTCCAGGGTTTGTCATTTATTGCCTGTAAGATGGTGGGGGGGGGGGAGGGGGGGAGGGTTAGGCAGCCATTTTGCTGGGGAGTTATTTTCAAAATTTTGAAATTGGTTCTGGGGGTCATTTTCAGATAACAGATCATTACCTAGGGGTCATTTTGTTAAATTTCATGAAAGTAGGTAAAAACAGTAATGAGCAAGAATTGAAATTGAATGTAACAGCTGTAAATAGAATAAAATGATACGATTTCATGTATAAATAAAGATTGATGATGATGATGATGATGAATAGTTAACATGGATCATAAAAGATGGCTGTAGATAAATGTATGTGGTTGGGTGATGAACTTCGGCACGATTTGTAGCCAGAATATTAGACGCTTCCACAGCAATCGGGTACTCAAGGAGATTCAACTGTATTCTTAATTCAAACGTTCTTCTTGCTATTGTTATTATTCATAATTATTGCTTTTATTGTTTTGTTTTTTCAGGCTCCTGTTGCACCTGCCACAGCCAAGAAAGGTGTACCTGTGCTACCAGTCAACTTAGATGAACTTAAGAAATCACCAAGTGAGTATTCCTGCACTCAGGGGCAATGAAGCTGATGTCAAAGCTCTAGTTATATTATTATCACTTTGTCGGGCATTGTGGTGCATTTTGCGCTAAAATATAATTTAGCCCACTGAAATATAACAATAAAAAGACTGGATCAAACAGTCATACAATAATTACACCAATCACAATGGAGAATCCATTGCAATGTTCATGCCACCGTTTTCTTGCATCGTTTGTTAAAGAAATCATGCTGCCATTTTCAAAGCTCAAATCCTGGTTGAAAACACAACCAATAATTTGTAAATTCTTAATCACTTCAGCTAGAGGAAGATGTACAAAAGTTAGAGAAGCTTATGATGCAAATAATGCCTCAAGTATGTCCAAAGTCAGTTCAACCAATTATCTCAAAACTGTACAAGTACACTTATGTTTTTCTTCTGGGATGACTTCGATGCTTTTTAGCTTGAGGCTTCATGTTTGTGTTGTTGTGTTCGTTCACGAAAAAGGAAAAGTGGCAGTGTTTTCGCACCCTCTGTCATGCCACTTTCCACCATGCCTTGATCATGTGTTGTTATGTATCCCGAGTGGGGTACATTGCTTAATGTATCACGATCGGGATACATTTGATTTTAGTCAAGGCCATGTGACCAAGAATCAGCCAATGGCTGTCCCTGTTTAGTTGAGTAAAAGTCTAGAAATATAAGATTGTGCTTTATACCAACTGTCAAATTATGCGAAGAAAAAATGACATTTTTAGTACTTAGTTGACTGTACCATTCTCTGGTTACTACAATTTTTCATTCAAGCAGGGTTGTCATTAAGAGCGGGGGGCCGGGGATTTTCCCCGGCTACTAAGAGAGTGGCCCCCAGCTACTTTTATTGGAAAGTAGAAGAAAAATAGAACCAAAAGAAATCTCTAGCCATTTGATTCCCCGCCTACTTGTTGTGTTTACCCGGCAACTTGAAATCTTAAGAACAACCCTGTTCAAGAATAGAATAACATGATATTTTTCTTTTTGACATTTGCGACTAATTATACGGCGCTTTTTAAAAGCTGGTACTGGCTGGGCAGATCAGTCATTTTGAAAGTAAAATTTTAGTCTGTTCTTGATATTTTCTCCAAAACCCAACATTGGCAAGCATACCGTTCAAGTATAGATTGATCTGGCTGGAGAGCCGTGATTTACAGTGGAATTCTCTTTACAGCTGGACTGGTCTCACTGGCCAGTTCTAAGTAATGGAAAGCACCCTTAGCTTCCGCTTGCAAGAGTTTGTCTGTTATCAGCAATTAAAAATACAAAGTGTTAATATTGCCCACTTATAAGAACTCTCTGCTAGCAGGAGTTTGACTGAATTACCTTTGTTCATTACCATGTTAGAAACACATAAAAAACCTGCTCCATCAGTCTCTGCAAAAGATGACTCCGACTCAGAAAAAACAGCACACAAAGTCACACCAAGAGAACCACCCAAGAAGCCTGTTTCATCTCACCCTCCTAAAGAAGAACCCAACGTGGATCATACCCCAGAAATGGCCCACCCAGCACCTGCAAAAAAACCAGTGGCACCACAGAAGCCTACTCTCCCACCCAAGAAACCATTACCAATAAAGGCTAAGAAACCAGATATTATAGGACGAAAACCAGAGAAAAAAGCAGATACAGAGAAATCGGCACCTCTTAAGAAAACTGCTGAAGATGCCGTAGATGGTTCACACGTTAAAGAGATGTCACATGTACAAGAAAGGTCAAAACCTGTTGACAAAAAATCAACACCTGAGATTAAGACAAGTGATACTGGAGAGGGTATGTTCACTGCTTCATAATATTATTAGAAAAATGCGTAACATATAATTTCACTGTTTTTGCTTACTCCAAGCAAATGCCAGAGGCAGATAGCATAAATCTGTTGGCGCATTTGCAAAGTGAGCAAGGGCCGTAGATAAAAGGACAAAAGTGAAAGGAACGGATGATGTACCTAAAAAGAACTCTACCAGAATATTATAGAGGTAGAGATGACTTGAAGTTTCTTTTGATTATAAAGCGTAAAGGTACATGTATCTCTTAGGGTTGTGCGTAGAGAAAATGTCCTTATAAAAAAGGCAAATGCCGTCATACTGTTTTGCAGTATGGTCTCCTTTAGAGATCAAGTAAGCTTCCTCAGCCACAGTATCCAGAGGAGATGTGTTTGTCGTTAGAACATCAAAACTCGTCGAAAACCTCTGAAAAAATGGGTTATTTTGATCGCGTTACAGTTTCGTTACACATTCCATAGACCGCAAACCAAGAGACTGACGGCTCGCAAGATCGGCTAGCACTTCGTGCCTCAGTCGCCCTTCGCTCACCCTTCGGGCGACGTGCCGTACGCCAGCAAGGATATGGCTTGCGGTTATTGATTTTCAAAAGTCGATCTGGGTCAGATAAGTATAAAGATCCCATTGGGCGAAGTAATCGTGCTAAGCGACAGGTATAGACATTTTTCAAGGTGAGACTTTAAGTAAGTAATTCATTTATTCACACGAAACTCCTCTGGACCCTGTGCCTCAGCCACGCCCAGATTGGTTTGCTCTTAAGAATTTTCATTCTTATTTTCAGACTATCCCGTGAGTCACTATAAAATGGGGTCCCCCCCCGTAGTACTAAGTGTTCATCTTTTAGAGGTTTCTCTTAATGACCGATTTAGACGGTACGATTTTTTGCTTACGACTATCGTGCGCGTGTAGCATATATCATGACTTTCGACCATCCACACGCGCACAATTTACACGATAATACTTCCAAACAGTGCTGTCCTCATAGAAAAAGACTGTGTCCTGTTGTTTAATTGTTAGTTGACTGTTTCTTGTTCTCTGTTACAGCCCCTATATCGTTTGATGATCCGCCACAAACAGAAACGTTAAATCACCTGACTGCTAACAGAGCCAAGGTGCCACAGAAGAGGCCGCCATCTAAGGTTTTGCATAGTATTATATCCCATTCACATAAAAGCTTAAACATGTTTAAAAGCTGTTTTTTCTTTGCTGAAGATGCTCACTGTAGTTTTATTGATGGCAGATTTAGTGCAATTGTGTAACATGTGTTTTCTTATTCGAATTCTGTGTAAGAGCCCGTGTTTAAGTGTTCTCTACTACTTTAAAGCACAACAAAGGCTAAAAGAATATGCATCGTTAAACAACGGCCATAATAACTGCCCCAGAAGTTAACGGAACGGGATATTTCTACAAATACACATGTTCAGATCGATCAATCGATCTTTTCGTCCTACGGGACGCATGCCATGAATTATTTGCGTCTTTGGGGATTTTTATGAGTCAGGGACGCAGGACGCAGAGATAACAAAATAACTGAACATGGCCGCCGTTTCATTGTTTTGGAACTCCAATATGGCCGCCGTGACGTCGAGTGTAAACGCTCTTATAACATACATTGTACAACTTAAAACGAGAAATGGAAAGATCAGCACAAAAGTGTATAGCCGGGGAAGCAATTTGGAGGTGATTGACACTAGAGTGTTGGAATACCTGGAAAAATTGCGGGGAAAAGATCTTTATACCTTCAGGCGTGTGGCCCGGTGATTTTATTTTCCATTGACACACATCGCATTTTTAGTAAGTGTTACCGTTGGTCTAAGGAAGGGGTAGCTGGGTAACCTGTGCAGCCGGTGGGATCGTTTGTGTGAGGAAAGTCTTGGAAGAGAAGCTGCGAAGTCGGGCGCAGAATGGGGAGAAGACGCTTTGAAATTTTGAAATTGGAATTTTCTTGCACCTTTGGCGCTCGGTTCTTGTTAGACTGGCGGCCAAAACTCTCACGCGCGCAAAGCAAAAACAATTCCGCCAGCTAGTAAGTGGGTATATTTGAGTACCCGATATGTGACTGTGTACATATAGTTACTTTATTGCGCCCTATCAGACGTCCCCGAATTCTCGCGTGGCTACTTGTAAAAAGGGTGTGTTCACATTAGTGCCAAGCGAGTACCGCAAGTACCAAGTGTGAACGTCGCCATATTCTAGTCTAAGTTGATATGTAACTTATTCCCTTTTGTTACAGGAAGGGCGGTTAGATTCAGCTCGTCTCAGTGGAAATTTAGATGACCATCTTACCGTAAGTTGCAATGTTCATATGTTGTTGACAGTTAGTAAAGCGGGGCAGCCAACGACCGAATCTTTCTGAACACTTCAAATTTGACTCAAATGTGTTCCCTATGCTTGAGCAGCCTGTTTGGTTAATTTGGAGCTGCCTTAAAAACTAATTATCTGTTCGAGTTTCTTAGGGAAACTTTTGGTCGAATCGAAAGTTTTAGGTTGCTTTTTCATCCGAAACTGTTACCTACCCAGAAGGATGCGATCGAAAGTTCCAGGAAAAGGAGTAACAACTTTCATTAGAAAATTCAAGGGGATGTCCAGTCTTTAAACCGATATTTTCAGGAGACCCGTTTTTAGCTATAATGGTGATATCTTGGTAATAAAATGTAAAAAACACAACCTCCGATAATCGTAGGTAAGCTACTGTACGAAACATGGAATATCTTAGACGAATGGAACGGTAATCCAGAAATGCTTAGCCTAAATCTCGGGGCAATATTTGCTCCTTTGAAGAGTCATTTTACAGAAAAAAGTCTTTGGCTCCACGTGAAAGAAAAAGAAGAAGAAGAACAGGTTACACCCCAGCCCTGGGACCTCATGACTCGTGTGCACCTTCACCCTTTAGATTTTTGAGGTAATTGTAATCTGCTGTATTTCTTGTAGGAAACAATCAAGCATCCTCCTTCACGTCCCAAAGAACCACCAAAAGAGCCTGCGTGGAAACGTGATGCAAGAGAAGCTCGAGAAAAGAAACAGTTGCTAGAAGAAAAGGTGGGCAGGGAACAATACGGAAAAAAGAGACTATCGTAAAGGCCGCGCGAGAGACCGCGCGCGTCTCTTCGAACAAAATCTCCGGACAAATTTTTGAACGGACGAATTTTCTACCTGTGCAAACCGATTAAAACGGTTCCGCGGGTTTAAAGAAAGCAGGGACGAAGGGAGTGATGGGAAGAGGAGCTCTACGCTCGTTCCCATCCTTCCTCTCTCGCGCTTCTCGCTTGTCTCGCGCGGCCTGTATCGCGTACCCGCTTGTTCCCCAATCCCCACTTAGCGGGAAAGTGGGGAGGCAGATACTATTCGTTTGCCAAGTGTGTTCAGCAAAGAACACTTACAAAAATTTAATTAAGATGGTTCATCAAACGAAGCCCAAAAAGTTTTACTGTAATATATCAAGCATGAGACGTAGTGTTTCATCACCAGATGAAACACCGAGAAGAATGTTGAAAAATACGACGCGCAGCGGAGGTGAGGTGTTTCATCTGTTGATGAAACACTGTGTTGAATGCTTGATATTGCTTCTCAAACAAAATGTTTTAGACGGTCACGAAAAATGAAGTTTTTCATCTGATTTCCAAATTATACCAGCGCAGAATGATCTCACGAACGGAAACCAGCGCAGAATGATCTGGGATCGTGAAATTGAAGACTGTGTGTTTTTAGGTTATCTTTGGATGGCTTAGCTTGAAATTGGGAAGTGTTCGACAGATTTTTTCAGTGTTGGGTAGCCTCCGGGACGCATCCCTTGAGGGTGAAATGTTCACCGACCCAAGCATTTCCAGAGTTGTTAGAGCTATTTGTGGTACTTTTAACTACATTGGTATTCGCTGGTTGTTTGCCACGTACGCATGTACTTGGGTAAAACGGTCGGTTCACGGTTTGGGCAAATGGTAAGCAAAACTCAGGCCTGGTAATTTTCGTTCGGTAATCGCGTTTCCCTTTGAAACTGGTATCAAAGATGCGTTTGAAGAAATGGAACACTAATTCCGTTTTTGGGACATTTCGACCGGGAAAATAGCACTACCTCTTCGGAAGTCTCATTGCTCCCGGAAACGTTCCAATTGGAACGACCCTAGAGGTCATGTTCCATTCACTTTCCAACCGGAATTTGCGGAAACTTTTTGTAAATGGTTAACCACCGTTATTCGCAACTTAAGAAAACGAGAAGGGAACTGGAGCCGAAATATGTCGCGGAATTGTGTCTGGGATCGTTACAGGCCACGCGCCGTTCAGTTATTGGCCAATCAGTGTTTTCCCTGCCCCTAGTAACAGTCCCAGAATTCAATGCGCGTTAACTCGGTCCATCCTCGGTCTTGTTCCTAAAGTGGCGAATTATTTATTCCAGTGTTTTTTCCTTTCCCTTATTAAGGCTCCACCGCCGATATTGGCCTCCAAAACTGACGCGTTAGAAAAGCGAAGGTCAGTTCACAAGGAGGAGACACATGAGCAGACGCCACCGGTGCAAAAAGTAGAGCCTTTTACGACAACGAGCCCAGCAGAGGTGGAAAAGTTACGAAAAGAGGTGTCGGGCCTGAGAGAGAAGCTGGAGAAAATGGAGAAAAAGTTTAATGAAAGTTTAAAGAAACAAGAAGAGAAATTTATGCGAGAGATCGAGGTCCTCACTAATGACTTTGATGAAGAGAAGAAGCAGAACGCAGCAGAGCTTGCCGCGCTGAAGGTGGAACTGAACATATTGAAGAGACGCCAATCTCGGTTGAATTTAGATGACACTCAGTGATGATTAGCCGATAGGTTGTGCTAAGCGAAGTGAATGAGATTTAGTTTGATACATTCAAATAGGCGTTCATTCATATAGTTTAGGAAATTTTTTAAAAAATACTCTAGAATTGTTTCAAAATACATCGAATTGTCATCTGAGGGTCTTTAAATCAATACGAAATAGAGTATAAGTAAGGTAGCATCTAGACTTGATACAAGTCGTTTCCACAAACTTCTTTACAGAATCTACAGTCAAGGTAGTCACCTTCTATTAAGCTTTCCTCTCCTTACTCCGGCCCAACCTCCGGTCTCACAGAGGTGTTCAAGTTAAATACAAGAATCACAAATTCATAGAAAATTAGAATAACTTGCTAAGTTTCCAAAACTAGGCAAGGGTGAAAGAAAAAAGAAATAGCATGCTGGGAAAATATGTCATTTGCTACTAAAGAAGTCTTTTATCCATCTTCGTTAAAAGCTCGAGGTGATTCCGAATGTTTTCATCGTCTCAGAAAACAAACCGAGCACTCCGGGCATTTCCCTGGATCAGGTTGCCCAGCAATATTTCCACTTAATTCTTACATGGATCTAACATGAGGGGCACCCAACGACGTTTTTCTTTAAAATAATTGTTCAGTGTTCAAGGAAGCAAATATTATCCAGAAATTCCTAAAGCTGTTAGTTACCCGTCAGGGTAACTAACAGTTTCGGAGAAGACCAAAAATTCACTTAAAACTTTCGAGAGAACCAAAATTTCCCCAAGATATCTAGCCTCCCACGCAGGCGTTTTTAGGGGAGCTCGTTTTATCCTGTGGGGAGGGATGAAAGACGAACTTCCCTAAGAACGCCTGTGTGGGAGGCGATACTACAAGATATCCGAACAGATAAACAGTTTTTAGGTCAACTCCAAGTTAACCAAACGGGCTTCTAAAGCATAGAGAAATTTATTTGAGACCTGACGAATTTGGAAACATTTGGTTGTTGGGTGCCCCCTGTCATCGTCACACAGAGAGGAGACGACAGAATTATTGCAGGTTATCTGGTCTTCATCCTTGAAGCAAAAATTCAACTTGACGAGAATGTCAGTTGTAAGGAAGTTATCATTTTTATTATCGGAATATCATCTGTATATATATATAAAAAATGCAATTGAAAAGTATTTTGGTCTCTCGTGATTTCAATGTTGTTGTTGTACCTTCTAGCATACTATATGCTACAGGATTGGCTGAAAAATATCTAGGGTTGCTTTCTCGACCAATCCTCAATTTTTTGTGTGATTTTTTAGCCTGCGCATCTGGTGATAGTTCTCTGGTGAGAGTGCGGAGCTCCGGGCACAAAATGAAGAAAGAAAAGTATTCCTTACCTTTCTTGGCTAAGCTTTTTCAGCCAATAGCATCACTGCTTAACTGACAGACGACCAATGACATCGCGACATATCAGGTCATTAACTAGAGTTTAAAACCAGCGAACGTTATACGACTCACTTAGACTCTGAAGATAGCTACCGCACAGGTTGCGGAAACGTCAGTCACTGTCAGCAACAGTCCTATTCAGGGCTACGTTGACCCGGACAGTCATACTCAACCTACTTATGAAATGACTCCTGGGTTCAACCTTTCACAAGATGTTCCTTCTTTCAAAGGCTATACGCCACTTGCACATCTTCTATAATGCACCTTATTTGTACTCCAAAATTCTGCATACCTTTGTTTTTCATTTCTGCTGGGTATTACAGCCGCCCAAAGAGAAACAATGCTTATGCAAAATTTGGAGGGGGCAAGAAAATGAGTTTTCATTCTCATGTTTCGTAATCCCGGGCGACCGAGGACGAGTGCCTGTTTTGCGCGAAAGCGAGGCTAATGCGCGTCACTTCTCACCAAGAAGCTGTGTGATCGCGTGGTCCACGGGCCGATTTATGTCATTTATGGCCGTTTTTTTTGGCCGTTTTATTGGTTTTCATGTAAACCCTTTTCTCTCTAAAAATATAAAATTTACACCTTTAGAGAGAAAACCGTGGACGACTCAGGAGAGACGTAACACACATTTTAAGTAAGGTAAGCTGTTTTTTATTGAAATCCTTTCATTTTCGTAGGTTACAGAAACGATGGGTTTTTTCCCATACAAATCCTTATATTTCGAATGTTACGCAACAATGCCGACGTTCGCTGATGCTAATATTTCGAGCTTGGGCTACCTGTGGAGACAAACGTCTGGGTACCAGGCAGAAGGAAAATCGTCCAACTGTTCCTTTACTAATCCTCCTTCCCCGAGAAACCTGAATAATGGACAATGATTTAACTGGAGGGCAGTTAACACTAACACGACCCTATGTTGATAAACAAGGCGCGATCAAACTTGCAGATTTATTGTTTGGTCTTCGTATTTCCGACCTTTCACATGCCAAGGAGTTTGTCAGTTACGACGACCGGAATTTCTATTTGAAAGGTGTTTTGCTTAGCCAAGAGAACAAACAAGGGAATTCCAGTGAAGATGAATTCGTGTTGAAGATATTAAACCACGTCGATTCACAAAACATTTCATACGTTAATGCACAAAACGCGCTTTTGCTTCATTTGAAAGAACATGGCTTTGTTTGCCCAGTTCCAATGAAGTCGTTAAGTGGTGAACTCACAATGGAATGCCAGTTGTCCTCTTATGGTTTAAGTGGTAGTAAAGAAAACGCCAAAATACAGGAGATCCCACGGGAAATTAACGCCGTTCGACTTCTGAGCTACGTGCCCGGGAAGCTTCTGAAAGATGTTCGTTGCACGAATGATCTCCTCTTCAATCTGGGTCGTTACATCGCGAAGATGAATAAAGCTTTGCAGGTAAAATACGTTTTTTATACGCAGTGCGGTTCGCTATAAAGTTTTGCGTCGATCAGATTGAAACTTCAACATTCCTCTCGCCACAAAGTGGTGTTTTTTGACACCCCGGGTGACTATTTAGCAATTATTTCTCGAGCACGAATGGGCTCTGAGTGAATAGCCCACGAGGCCGAAGGTCTCAATGATGACCCTATTTAATAGGTTATTTTGCTAAAACAATAAGCCATTTGCACTAATAGGTTATTGCCTTAGAAAAACGATTAGCGGGTCATATCTTAAATTAAATAATATTGATTTGGTTTTTCAAATCATTCTGAGAAACGTATCGCTCCAATTCACAGGAATTGTTTACCTTCATTTGCATTAATTTGTACTCATCGCTTGCAAAAACGTGGCTTTCAATACGAGCAGGATATCTCCCGGGCTTTAAGTTTTCCTCGTGTGTTCTTTAGATTTTCCTTCTGAATCCGATTGACTGCAAACAAAATAGCCTCGATCCGAGGGACAAACTTGAAATCAAGGCAAATGCAGTGATAAACTTACATACAAACATATTTACATCCAAGATAGCTCAAAAGCGGATGGCATCGGGCACAGGCAACCCAGGCTGGTCACGTACGCGACTGAATTAGTGTGCTGCGAAGCCTGGTGTCTTTGCAGCAAGAATAAGGCTGGTTACCGGCTCAAAGTGGTGTTGTGTTCACACCTCAGGTACCAAATATGAAATTGAGTGCATGTCTGCCCCATTTTGCCTTGTCAAAGGCTACTTCGAAATGTGACTTATTGGTATTCAAAGAAGTGGATTGGTATTAAGCAGAAACACGGACATTCAGGTCCCTAGTGCTAGTCCAAATAATTTGTGGAATGGGTATTTGAAGAAAGGATGTGTTCACATTAGTGCCTAGTGAGTAAAGACATGCCTGGGTACCTAGTGTGAACTACATGTTTCATTGAACTGTCAAGTGTCTATTTGTATTGCTAATAGCATGATTTGTAGTGATATTTAGCATAAAAACCACGAGTGATATTTCAAAATTGTTATACAAAATTATAAATTTGAAACAATTTTGAAATATCAGGAGTGGTATTTATGCCAAATATCACATGCAAATCATGCTATTATTTGTTTATACTACTACCCACACAAGGTTTGTTATTTTCACATGTAGGTATTTCAAATTAAGCTGAAATACCACTGTTCTAAGCCAATCAAACTGCAGAAATTTCTAACGTAGCAGTATAAACAGTGGAATGTCAATATAACAAAGGGCCAAGGGACTGACAAAATTGTTCGCTATAAAGAGGTTTCATTATATCAACGTTCTTTTTCATATGTTTTACTACTACAGGGGTAATGAAAGTCATTCATTACACCAAGGACTTAGTTATATAGAGGTTCGTTATATCGAGGTTCCACTATACATGGTTGTTACATGTCAGGAAATGGTCAGCCAAAACAATTCTTCAAGGTCAGGGAAAAGTCAGGGAATTTCACTTTCTAGTTAGAGAAAATTTGAATCTTTGAAAGAGGTCTGTCGTGGAAAAATGAAATTTTAAGAGTACATCTTTTCGCGCCAATGTTATTTTGTTCTAACACATAAAATTCTGAAAATGAAGAAATGATCGCCGCAGTGAACGCAATTTATGCAATTGCGTAAAGAAGCCTTCAGGACTTCAACGGGGTTTGAACCTGTGACCTCGTGATACCGGTGTGATGCTCTACCAACTGAGCTATGAAGCCACTGATGTTGGGAGCAGGTCAATTGTGGGTTCATATGTTCCCGTGAAAGAAATGAGTGTTAATGATGTATGAAATAAATCATATATGAACTGCGGAAATGAAATGAAAATGAAGAAATGATTGTTGCAGTGAACACAATTTATGCAATTGCATAAAGAAGCCTGAAAAAAAAATTCAGGACTTCAACGGGGTTTGAACCCGTGACCTCGCGATTTTTCAGGCTTCTTTACACAATTGCATAAATTGCGTTCACTGTGACGATCATTTCTTCATTTTCATTTCATTTCCAAAGTTCATATATGATTTATTTCATATATCATTAACACTCATTTCTTTCACAGGAACATATGAACCCACAATTGACCTGCTCTTAACGTCAGTGGCTTCATAGCTCAGTTGGCAGAGCATCCTGCCGGTATCGCAAGGTCACGGGTTCAAACCCTGTTGAAGTCCTGAATTTTTTTCAGGCTTCTTTACGCAATTGCATAAATTGCATCCACTGCGACGATCATTTCTTCATTTTCATTTCATTTCCACAGTACATATATGAGTTATTTCATATATCATTAACACTTAAAATTCTTTTGTACATTTTATGAAAATAAATCATGATGTATTGTTAGTTTATTGTTCATGAAATTGAACAACAAGTTATGTTAAAGAACTTTCAATTCATATACACTGTAAATAACTTGCTGAAAGTATAAATAAATGGGTGGAAGGGATGGCTGTAAGGAAAGGGTTGAGTCCATTGTCAGGGCTAATTGATAAACTCTTTATTCAGTTGGTCAGGGAAATTTTATATTTTTTAGGAAAAAGTCAGGGAAAAATCTGGGAATTTCAGAAACCTCTCACCGCAACCATGATTTAGTGTCTGTACATGCAAGAGAAATGCACTCAAAAAGGTTTTTTCTGTCTAGTCGGTTGAAACCTGAGTTTTTTTTGGATGTCAATCAAGTGCTATCATGGATTTTCCCACCCTCTGCTGGTGAATTCTTCTCAAAGAGCAAAGGCAAAGAGCTCAGGATTCTCTCCGATAGCATGATGAATGATAAGAAGTTCTAGGAGTTAACGCTAACATTCACACAAATATTCCCTCTCTGAAAACAGTCTTATTTCAAAGGACAACTTTTTTTGTTGTTCAATACTACAGAAAGTTATTCATGACAACCCCTTTCACTTCAAGCATGCCTTTAGGACCCTTTAGATTATAGTCATTGTATACCACTTTTGCCTTCTACTGTATAGTGATAAAATGTTTGACTAATGCAGGGTTTGTGGTTTTATCCAGAGTTTTCAACATGTGGGCCTTACTGGTCTAGTCAAACAAGAATGGGACTTGGCTCAGTTAACTAACCTTGAAAGTTACATATCTGTTGCAAGCCAGGGTGTTAAAGACTCAAAACCACTTCAAGATGTCTTCAACATATTTGTCAATAGAGTCATCCCAAGGCTTGTTAATCTAGATAAACATGTAATCCATGGTGACCTCAATGATCAGAACATACTGGTCGCTCCAAGTCAGCGTGGTGATATTCATGAAATAGCAGGTATACTTGATTTTGGGGATACCTCAGATTCCTACAGAGTGTTTGAAGTTGCCATATGCATGATGTACATGATAATGCTCCGAGTGCAACAAGGTGATACGCATCAAGAAGCAATCAGATCTGCCGGCCACTTGTTGAGAGGTTATCAAAGTGTTTACAGCCTCTCTCACTCTGAACTTGACCTCTTGTATTGGTCAGTTGCCGCTAGGTTCCTTCAGTCTTGTGTGATAGGAATATATAAACAATCTCTTGAACCAGAGAATGAATACTTGAGCCAAACTTATCACTTAGGATATAAAGTTCTTTCTTCGTACATTGCCTCTTCAGAAGAAGAAACGCTTAATTCTTGGTTTTCAACTTAAATTAATAGTAGGGATGTTTTAGCCTTCGTTTTTTGGTAGGAATACATGAATGCTGATGACCTCATAGCCATTTGTCTTTATCTCATGAATAAATTGCAGTGGAATTTCATTAAGATTTAGTCATGTGCTATTTTTTTGGTGGTCTAACCGGTTGGACAGGTTGTTTAGTTATTTTTAGGTCGATGAATATAAAATAAGAAAAGTGTTTATTGTTTTCCCACCACCACCACCAAATAGACAGGTTATATAAATGGCCCGTAATTCCTTTTCTTCCTTTGGCCTGATTTTGGCTATTTTGGCTTGAATTGGGCTTTTTGGGCCTGGTTTTGGCCTGTTTGACCTTCTCTTTAAGCAGTCTATTTGATGGTGGTGGTGGTAAAGCAATAGAAATGTGGTGTTGATGTTGGTGGACGTTAAATAAGAAAAGGGTTGATGGTGGTGGAGGAGAGAAAACAATAGAAATGTAATGGTGGTGGTGGTGGAGGAGGGAAAACAAAAGAATTATGGTGGTGGGGGAAGTTAAACAAAAAAGGGTTGGTGGTGGTGCTGGAGGGAAAACAGTGGATACGTGATGGTGGTGGTGGAGGGAAAACAATAGAAATGTGATGGTGGTGATGATGGAGGTAAAACAATAGAAATGCCATGGTGGTGGCAGTGGAGAGAAAATAGTAAATGTGAGTGAAGGCAAAATAACTAAATTGTGTAGGAGAAGGAAGGGGAGTGGGATAAGTAAAAATGTGTTTAGTGCTAAAAAGTGCAAGTTTCCTTCAAAGTCATTTATATGCACGATTTGCGCGCCATGAATCAGTGAACTGGAATTTGAACAACTTTTTGTCTGCAATGGACAATTAAAGGTGCAGAAAATAGAACTTGCATAAATACGTTACGGTTCAGTGATTTTGGGTCACAGGCGAGTAAACAATCATTCCTTCAGCAACATGAATCAACCAATGGACTCTTGTTAACGAAGACATCCATCAACCTAAAAATAACTGAATATCATACGACGCCATCAGCGTTCAGGTATTTCTGCCCTGGTTAATGAGATTCCTGCCGAAAAGCAAGGCCTAAAACACCCCTACTATACAACTAGTCTAGTTAGCAAAGAATTACTATGCGATGGACTTCTGATCATGAGTGTCTGACTTTAGAAAAAGGCTGGTTCATTAAACCTTTGATCTTCAAACTGTTTTCAGTCTAATTATGATCTATATATCTTTTTAAAAGAAGTTTACAAAGGCAACATAAGCTTCTTTCACGTTTTAAATTATGATCGGTAATTTAAAAATTAGAAAATTCTAAAATACCTTCATATTTATCACTAAGAAGCGGCTGTTATTATAACGGAGCTCCTCACGCTCGCGAACCCCACGAAGCCCCATAGCTGCGTTCGCCTGCGTAGCTGGCGGGATTAGCGTGCGAGTGCAGTAGTTTTTTGGCGCCGGACCCACGTGAAGATTGGGAGCAAGTTAAATTGAAATCCCGGCAGCCCTAATTTGGTATTTTGAATAGTCCGACAACCAGGCGTACGGGAGTTTCTGATTGGCTGAGAGGCGATAAAACGTCAATCAAATGTTAATGTAAATCTCTAGCCAAGGGAAAGTTGACCAAAGTTAGTGCGATCACGAGGAAAGGAAATAAAATTGAGCAAGCTAACAGGCTCATTCCACCATACGATTTGCGGTTGAACTCCTCGAAAGACATTTTTTTACGGAAATAGATCTCAAAATTTTATAAGACACGTCTTCTGCTATCCTTTATTCAGAAAGGGCTGAAACTAATCTCGTTTTTAGCCTGCGAGCAAGCTCTCCTACTGGGCACTAAGAGAGGTGAGCCTCGCGAGATCGCCGCTCGCTCGCGCGTTCTCGCTTCACTCGCCCAAATAGGAGAGCTTGCTCGCAGGCTATCTCGTTTTTCGAGAGGAAATTGGCTCAAAAACAAAAGCGCATGAGATAATATTGCCTTTTGTCACGCAGCACAAACTCCCTGATCAAGCATCAAATATCAAAGAAGCGCTTGATCATCGAAAATTGGCGCCTTAGAAAAGCGGGTGGAGTATGCCGTGGAGGACTCTTCGTTTTGACTGAGCAAATATTATCTTTGCCGACTGAGAAGTCATGAGGCCGATGCCTGTGTATTGATTTCCTGTGGTTTTTGTCCCTGACAGAATTTGACCTCTGAGACAGTTTTGGGCAGCCTAGTCCCTAGGCGTTCTCGGCGCGGTCAATCCTGGACTCTACCGTGAGCTGTGACGTCACCGAGAGATACTCGCCGCTCTTTCCCAGACTTCGCGCGGATAACGGACCAAGAGAGAACGATTTGGGACTAGGAAGCGCTAAGCTTTTTATTGCGGCTAAATGACCGTTTAATAAAGGTTTTAGTTTCTTCAGTTGGAGTAACTGCAGAATACCCCGACTGGATCCTCAATAACTTGCTACACAGTAGTTGTTTTGTCCGTGACTTGATTTTCGGCTAATGTTTTGTCACGCTTGGACTGGCTCGTTTGCAGTTCAGTTTCGTATTACACCGCTCTTCCTGATTGGGTGATCAAATAGTTCCAACCAAGGTGACAAGTGTGTGGGGCATTCAAAACTCATAAGAAATGTGGCAGGCGGAATTTTTCCCTCGTGGCGGCTCCGCCGAGAAAGCACCCCGGGCACAAGAATCCCGCCAGCTACGCAGGCTATTGCTGGGTTGGCTATTTTACTAGCCGAGAAATGTTAGTAGCCACGTGACGGTCCGTCCGTTCAAACGTCCGTCCTCACCAGAAGGTAATCAATGTGAAATCCCACAAAAGTAAAAGTAGCCAGTGTGGGAGCCTGCAACCTGATATTGCACATCCCTGCTGTGGTCAGTTGACAGCTGTCAAAAGAGGGTATCCGCTGACCAGTTTCACATGACCATATCAGGTGTCGACACCGCGGTTATGCTGACAAGTTAGTAGTTTCAACAGATCGCAGGCTCAACTCTAAGTGGATTTGTTGCGATGGTTACAAGATTATTGTTTGAAGTAAATTATAAATTTATTGCGGGAGCTTCGCTTTTAACCTTGGCTAATCTATGTATTAGTGCATGCGTGTGGTTGTATACTCGGAGCCATTGCAACTTGACAATGTTTCTGCGAATTCTTGACAACTTTATTTGTATCCGTTTCCGGACGTTCAGATTGCAGGGACGGCGGGCAAAGAGATGTGATCAAGGAAAACATCGAAGGGGTAGGGTAGAGATTGAGAGCGAAGGAACGGCTCTCCATAATATCTCCCTTTCCTTCTCCTCCTCCTTATGCACTTTTCCCGCTCTCTGAAGGTCTGGAACCAGCTAGATACACAGCAGAACCAACCAAAATTCAGCAAGTTGTGAAGACTAAGTCGTCCAATTTCAGAGACGTAGAAATCAAACCTTTCAAAAGCATGACTTCCCCTTGCAAATATCTTTGAACTTGATTGGTTCTGTATTATATGGAGTCAGAAGCCCCTTACTCGGAACGATCAACTCCCGCACTAGGCTTATGACAAGGCCTTTCCAGACGCCTGTCTATTCTTAGACCCATTTTAGAGTACTTTATCCCGCGAGAACAAGGCCTTTACTCCTTTAAGTGGCTTATCGCAAATATAAACTGCAAAAAAAAAAAATAAATAAAATAAAAACGAAAGGAAATGTAAGTAAGGTTTGTAACTTTCGCTGACTAGTTTATGAAAAAAAATATCGTCTACGTAAGCGCCAAAATCGATCTTAAAATAAACTGTTCTGGGAAAACGTCGTGACACGTGAAACTTGTCTGGCAATCAAATCATACATTTCTTTGTAAATGTTCGAGTTTTTGGACAGACGAATCTTGTGCAACATTGATATCGGCCCAATTTACACCAAAATCAGGGTGTAATCTCAAGGTGTAATCTCTCAATCTCCGTCGCGTGTTCTCTTTCTGTTTATGTGGGTCTTTTGGCGATAATCCCATATACATGGACTCAAACTTAGTCCCTCCCGCGATATGAAAGTAGGAAATGACACTTCACCACCAAACCTCCGCAATATAATATCAGACAATGTGGACATCAATTGGATTTAGAGCCACGTGTCCGAATTACAGAGCGGGAATCCGTATTACAGAAGTTAGGAAGAGGTTAGGTTGAGATGTTTGGGATCAACAGAACTGTCAGCCAATACTTTTACCACAGTACCTCGCATATGCAGCTAAGGCGAATGGCAAGTGAGATATTGAACTATGTTGAACCGGGAAATACTCGCAATGATTTCAGTGCCAGACAAAGCATCCGGTTGTGCAATCAGTTTGCATCTTTCATAATTTTTTCGCCGAAAAGACACTCTTACTTGTTTGACTCTTTATATTGTGTTTCAGGAATTTGAATGATATTTTAAACGAGACATTTATTGAAACTCAAATAAAACCACAGAAAACTTTGCTATAAATAGTTCAAAACTGCAAACATTTTTGTAACCCTTAAAAACCACGGAAGTGTGTGGTCTAATTTTAAGCCTTTGCAACAGCCAATACCCACAATTTCGTCACGATAAGGATCTTCGCATCTAAAATTGTCTTTTAAAGCCAAAAAAATCATAGAAACTTCAAAAACACTGCCAAAAGAGTGCTGCGTTGTCTGGTCTCAAAGTCAGGGATGAATGGTGGACTGGACAAATAGTCCAGCTATAGTCGAGGGCTGAGCTAAACTTCAGGAAACTGGGCCAGATACTAACACGTTACAGAATAACAACAGCTGTGCTATTGTGTTAGCTTCCGGTCCGACATATAGTATTTAAAAAAGTGAACGGATATTCTGTAGTTTCTGTAAACGAAAAAATGGATGAGGAAAGTTCTGAAGGGCATCTAACTCTAACAAGACCCTACGTTGATAATCACGGTGCCGTAAAGCTTGCAGATTTATTGTTTGGTCTTCGCATTTCAGACCTATCGAAAGTGAAAGAGTTTGTGAGTTATGAAGACAGAAATTTCTACTTTAAAGGTGTTCTGCCAAACCAAAAGAACAAACAAGGAAATTCCACGGAAGATGAATTCGTGTTGAAGATATTAAACCACGTCGATTCACAGAACATTTCATATGTTAATGCGCAAAACGCACTTTTACTTTATTTGAAAGAACATGGCTTCGTTTGCCCTATTCCAATGAGGTCTTTAAGTGATAAACTCACAATGGAATGCGAGTTGTCCTCTTATGGTTTAAGTGTCAGTGAGGAAAACGCCAAAATACAGAAGCTGCCTCGAAGAATTAATGCTGTTCGACTTCTGAGCTACGTGCCTGGGAAGCCCCTCAAAGATGTTCGTTGCACGAATGATCTTCTCTTCAATCTGGGTCGTTACATAGCGAAGATGAATAAAGTTTTGAAGGTACAAAATTTTTTTGGGCTTGGTTGTTGTTGTTGTTTTTTTTTTTCAATGAAGGAAATTTTTACGAACGGAGCAGATGTGCTGATGCAGTTGTGTATGCAGGAGAATGGTCAAACTTCAGTCCTCTAGAGGAAACAAAACCAAGTTGTTGGCGTAACAGTCAAAATAAACGCCAATATGAAAAGATCCCCCACTCATAGAAAGACCCTTAATGTCCATCACTTGTAAAAGTTTGTAATTGTTTGGTGGGGATTTAGCTGTACAGGTTAAATATTTTTGAAAGGTGAGGGACAAAACGAAGCCGTTGAGGGCGTTTGACTTCTTCTGGAATCTAAAATCTGTCAGCAGTCTGTAGTGAATTCTCGGAACTGCTCTGTGATTTCCTTCCTGCTCGTAATATAGCAGTGGGTGGTATAGCAAGGTGGTCTGCAATAAAGGACCAAGGGCAGGTTTAGTTCTTATTGTCGCGTAATGATTCTAAAGGAAACGATCTTTTTTTTTCCCATTTACGAGGGAAATGGAAATGAAAAATTGAAAAATTTTCCCTTTGCACCCGCTTCCTATCATTCACCTCCCCACCTTCACCTCTGTAAGTAGCACTAAGTATAGCTCCATCCTTCTCCTGCTCAGTTCAGATTAGGATGGGAGGTTGGGCCTTGAACCTGGCCGACACGTCACTTTGATTCTGAATTAGTTGTGAACAGGATAATTTCGCTGGGGTCGGGAATTACAATACGTATCAATACTTCTAGGAACACATATGTTTTTTACGCTACAGACAAGAGTGATTAAATATTTTAGTAATGTAAGGTTGCTGTCTTTACGCAGAATTTTCAGCATGCAGGCCTCTGTGATCTTGTGAAACAAGAATGGGACTTGGCTCAGTTAAATGTCCTTGAAAGATACATATCCGTTGCAAGCCAGGATACTTCAGAATTTAATCTCCTTCAACACGTCTACAAGAAGTTTGTCAATGGAGTAATCCCAAAGCTTGGTGATCTAGATAAACATGTTATCCATGGTGACCTTAATGATGAGAACGTACTGGTCGTTCCTACTCAGCGTGGCGATAGTCATGAAATAGCAGGTATACTTGATTTTGGGGAAACCTCAGATTCCTACAGAGTGTTTGAAGTTGCGATCTGTATGGCGTACATCATTATGCGCCGAGTCCAACAAAGTGATACACATCTGGAAGCAATCAGAGCTGCAGGTCACGTTTTGAGAGGTTATCAAAGCGTTTACAGTCTCTCCCACTCGGAACTTGAACTCTTGTATTTGTCAGTAGCCGCTAGGTTACTTCAGACTTGTGTAATAGGGAGATACAAACAGTCTCTTGAACCTGAGAATTTATACTTGAGCCAAACTTGTCAATTAGGATTAAAAATCCTTTCTTCTTACAATGCTTTGTCAGCAGAAGAAACACATTGGTTGTCAACTTAAATGCATAGTAGTAGGCAACTACGTGACATGGAGGCAGCTTTCTGATCTTTTTGTATATCACGTGTATGTGGATACATACAGTTTTGTTTGTTTCGCACCGCGAGTCTTAGTGCTACTGGATTTAAATGTATACTTGGAAAAAACGGCCCACAGGAACGTTACACTTTTTGCACTAGTTCAGTATTTGGTGCAACTTCTAACTCCCACCAAGAACTGTTAACAACTACTGTAACCATTAGTCAACTGAAAATAAAGGTATACATATCGGTGGACTAAATATAACAACTATAAATCAGAATTAATCGAAATGAAATCGACAAGCTTTGTTTTGAAGTATTTTGAAAGATATTTTAAGATCTACCTCATCTTTTAAGTTTCGTGTTTGTTTCATTAAGTGGGTCAAGGTTAGTCTTGATTTGTCCAATATGTGTTTTCCTGTTTTGATCTTTTGTTTTAACTTGTACTTGAATTTGTTTTCATCTTTTTTTTTAACTTATACTTGAGGTTTTGAGTTTACCTAATGCCATTTTAGGAATATTCTTCGCTTGCCATTGTCAGATGTTAGTTTTTCATGGGTGGTCGTGTTTGTGATGTTAGAGCTGACCTTTTTTCATTATTCTCGTTGAAGTTCCTGTTTGGGTTTGTTAACCAGTGTTTTAGTTTTTCATTGGTTTGTAGCTTCTTTCCGATCGGAACCATTTAGGTTCAGTAATCCCAAAACACTACCCACACCGAGTTCACCTTGATATTATTCCCACGGTCAGTTAACCCAAACATGTCCAACACTGACGAACAGCTTTGGCTATAAAAACCGCTATACTATACTAGAACTAGCTGGTTAGGATTGAGTAGAGAAGAAGAGTAAGAAGGTTAAGATTAAATAATTGTTAGAAGAAGTCAAACAAGAATAAAGACAAAGATATAAATCAGATTCCTGGTACCTCATCGCGTAGCGAACGAGTTGCTCGAACACACCCCCACAGCTTTTCTGCCTGCATCACTGAGCATACTTACAATTCTGTTAGGCGTAATCCAGTTTAGTAGGAGTTATTTTAACCTACTTTCTGCAAGGTCCAAATCGCACTGTTTTCAATGACACAGTTCTTTTTCTATTACTGATTGCTCATGCTAAGCACATTAAGTCACCGGTAAGCTTTAATCTGACTGCCTACTTGAAATCTTACGTGTCCGATTTTATCACTAATGAAACAAGAAAATACAGTCAACTCTCTCGTAAAGGACACCTAAAGTTGTTCCCTCCATTTCTTTACTCCCTTTACTTGACTCTCTACAAGACGGACATCTCTCTTAGGCGGAAAATTATAGTGCCGTTTCCAAATTGCCAGGTACTATGATCTTGACAAGGACCTACTCCAAGCAGACCAACGCCTATTCAGTCAATTCAACACAACACACGCAGAGAAAAAAATCAAAGCAGCTGCAGAAGTAATTGAAGTATTGCACAATAGCCTTTTGGAAATGATCGCCGCAGAGTTCTCCAAGGTCAGATCTATTCTGGCCGTCATTCCTGCAACATCATCGAAGCGTTCGTTCAGCAGCCTCCGGCCCTTGAAGACCTATCTCCGGGGCACTATGGGACAGAATAGACTTAATAGCCCGGCTATCACCTGTATTGAGCGGTTTTTCATTGCGAACAGTATGGACAGGATAATTAAGATTTTCGGAGAATGTCACGGGAGAAATAACTTTTTTGACAAGTGTCTGATCTTGCTACATCGAGTAGACTGTCGATAGTGATAATAGAGACAGTATACCAGGTTTCAAAATAACTACATCTGGAATTACAACCGTTTTACTAAGCGTGATAATTATAATCGCTTTTTTCCTTTTTATACAATATTAGTGCTTTTGTATCCCGATTACAAAACTCAAGAATTCAATAAGTTAAATTATCTACAAGGAGTACTTATTTAACGTGGAATATCTAATACACAGGAGTAAGTATTTTTAGCAAAAAGACAAAAAAAAAAACACAAAAGGCACACGTGGTAAATAATAATAATAAAAATAAGAAATAAGAAAAATATATAACTAAAAAAATAATCCAACATTAACTGCGACATGCAAAACAAAAAAATTGCTGGTGAGGAGAAACAATTCTTTTTGAGATTAGCCCACTGTTAAGTTTCATGCAAGTTTTTCGGCTTTTCATTGTTTAGTTACATTGTGAAAGAACTCATTATAGTTGACTGGTACCTGTAAAGTTTTGCGTTAATAGAAATTTAATTTTCTACCTGGCGTAAAAGCTCACGCACTTTTTTCTTAAAACAAGCCCCACCAAAAAGTCGACAACTGACTATTTTACTCCTAACAACCAGCCCTTGACCGAGTTCTCGGTGATCAAAGAGCTTCTGAGGCGATCAGAGTAGGCCACTGAGGAGCTCGGTCAGGCATATGTACTCAACAGAACACTTTCGACCTTGGTGGCTGCATGAAGACCCTTCCCCTCAGCTGGAAATTTCCAGATCAATACAAGAAGCATGTAGTGATTGTAGGGCCATTCCATACTAGAATAAATTATATAGGCATGGTGACTGGCAACAAATGCAGAGGCTCAGGGTACTCTGAGATCTTAATTGAGGCTGAGCTCGTCATCACTTGTTTCTCCATTTGTAGATGGGGAGTACTCGCTCTTTGTTGCTGACATCAAACCCAGCTTTCACATCCTGTAATACACAGATTTAGCCAGGGCTAAAAGCGAAGCTCTAGCTTGATAATATTTATAGTTTGCTCAAACAAAATGTAAAACTGTGTAATACGAAGCGGAGGCAACGAGAACAACGAAAAAATCAGCAATAGGTCTAATTGCACGTGCAGCACAATTTTTTTGTACATTTCTTTGCCGTTGATTTGGGCGACTACAACGTGAAACTTCCAGAAACTTCCTAGTTACATGTTTTATGGAAGAAATGTCGTACGTGTTCTTGTTCACCTTTTTTTCACTACCGCTCATACTCACTTTGGTGTTCTTCCAACAAAAAAATATCTCCTTTGTTTATTATTTCTCGCTCTAATCCTCTGTCGCTCTTTTTCTCGTTGAGCTTAATTTCGCTGGTCTTTTACCTACTTTCTCTTTTTCTGTCTTTCTCTTTCTCTATATTACAAATTTGTGGGCAGGACAATTAATCTAAGCTTAATACTATAGACAACACGGGTACAGAAACAATTTCCGCGTTCCGTTTTCGTCTTTATTGACTCTTTAGTTGTCTCTGCTTTACAAGACGCGGGTGGCTATGCGATTTCCCGGCAAAATAACCTCGAGTTGCGGTCACGTGATTACCAAATTTCTCGGATGGGTAAATTACCACGTTTTCTTAGGTATGGGGCTACGCTCTCTCGCGCGAACGTGGAGCTCCGCTATCATGATCCCACCAGTACTATTCACCACATTTGAGCCATGGATGTTTGTCGTTATTTTGTTCATATTGTCCCACTCAAGATGAAAACTTCGTTGCCCTCTCCGGTAATAATCAGGGAACTAAGGGAAATAAAAACCTCATCTAGGGCTTTGGCCAGTGCTGTTTCAAGCTCCAAGGCGAAGACATAGGTCTCACAGTGACGCAGCCTACTGAATATGGTAGTAAGTTGTTTACTGCTATACTAGTGTCATACACTAGTACATAAGAGGATGTGTTTTGACAAATTCCACTCTCTCTCTCCGTTACACCACGGCAGATGTCCTGAAAAAGCATTGAAAAACTCATTGATAATTCATAAAAACTAAAGAATGTAGAGTTAAATGAGTGTCTTTATATCTGATGAAGACACGGTTAAACTTTACGTCCATTTTCTTAGACCAAAATAACTCAAAGTCTAAATATTAGTGCAACAATGAGTTGTGCCATATCAAAGAGTTTGAAGCCGTTCAAAAATCTCGCAGTTGTGTATTATTAGGTTTAAAAACACTCGGCTTTGCCTCGCGTTTTAAACCTAAGAATACACTCCTGCTCGTTTTTGAAACAGTACTAAACAACGATTAGCTCGATATAAAAGTACCTCAAAATTAACAATGGGCAAATAGTAAATGGCAAATTGACCCATCACAGTGCCCCATTTACTTTTGTCATATTTTATAAAGCTGGATGATACCTGAGCATGTAATGGACAAGGAATATGTTATACCTGGCCTATAGATAGAACGTCGACGCTTCCAGTCTTCTCACACCTCTCCACATCTGCATCGCAAGGAATGGCAGAGTACAAGAACTTCACAAGTTGGAAAGGGAGAACTTCATCTGGTGACTTTACACCCAAATCTTTGGCTTATGGAGGCTATGGAAGTGGCTTCGACTCTTCTTAATTGCCCGCTGGATGAAACTACGAAGGATCCGAGGGCGACATCCTTGTACTTGTCTGTGGACCCCAGCTTATATATGTATGCTACCGCAACTGCAACGGAGATGCTGGCACTGTAGACCAGGTTGTAAGTGACACAACCTTTGTCATCTAGATTGACCTTGGCAAAGGCGATGAACTGGTTAATCTGAAAGTTCTCGAGTCTTGCTTTTAACTTCTCATTGCTATTACTCTGGGTTGTCAAATCCGTGTTTTTCTAACTCTTGAATTTACAGAAGACGTAGAGATGCAAGCAAAACGACGGTTTTCTGCCCAATTAGGCAGTCTTGAATGAAATCAAAAACAACCGTGAATGCCTTCAGATGTGCAAATGCCTTACGATCCTGATCTGTATCAGTTTTTCCAAAGCCCATGGTTCTGGCATGTCTATATCACGTAGGTAATTGGCGTACCTCAGGTTAAATGATTTGCGACAGGACGGTTGAAACTGGGCTTCTCTTGCAAACAGATCTTTGTCTTGTACTATGCGATGTAGACGGCTATAGTTCTAGGGCTCGTGTCTCAATCTGTTTTCCAAGTAGGCTCCCTTAGAGCTCCATCCTTAACATTGGGAACTTGATGTATCGCTGTGTTTTCCCACACGATTTTAATTCAAGCTTTTCACAGACAATACACTCTGGAGGAAAAACCCGCGTGACAGATGAAGATGATGATTACCGGGGAAACTATTTTCTTGATTAATTCATGAGGTTTTACGCTACCCCTCAACCGATCCTGGTTTTTTGTAAACTTTTGGTAACAGCTTCGGTGACGACCAACTGCTTCTAAGTCTGCACCAGCAAGAGTCTCAGGAATCTGATCACAAACATCTTCCATGCGATACGGGGATTCTCGAAGCTCCAAGAGACGCCTCTGGCGAATATTATGTAGCTGAGAAAGCTTCTCAGTGGAAAATCCCTTGACGTTGCTGATTGGCGTAAAATCGCCATGCTGAATGTTACTCCGTCACATGTAAGATACAACGAACGTCAGGATGCTTCCGAAAAACTTCTTGATCATCAGAGTTATCATCAAGTTTCCGTTTCATTTGCTTTTAGTTTTAGTCTTGAACGATACTCAAGTGTTTTATACTGAAATTATACAAATCCAGTTTCAAAGAACTTACGTGCGTCGCCATGTTAGATGTAGTACGGAAGACTGCGCATGTCCGCTTGCTCTATTTAATTGCGTGCGTTCTTAATTTATCGGAATGCCTGGCAGTTTTTTTGCTATCTTTTTTTAATACTTTTTAAAACTCTAGAGGTTTTGGTTTTTTTTGGAAAACATGACTTCAAATCGTCCTTCAAAAAATCACTTTAAATAACTTTATTTAGTATGGAAATGGCATCTGATTAAATTGTAAATAATCTGAATCATTCACATATTTAGAGTTTTTATTTATCAAGTGTGTTAAAATTACAAAAATAACACATTTGACTTATTTCTTGTAGAACAAAATTGCTTGAAGTCAATTCAAAATTGACTGTCGACAAGAGACTTTTGTTAGAAATCGAAGATAGCCGCCATGAAGGGCCTTTAGACAACAGGGCCATTTATTCGAAGAAAAATAAGACGCGAACTTTCCGTATAAACGGCACATTTCGTCTGAAATAAGATACGACTTAGCTAAGACGCGTCTTATTTTAGAACAGCCCTTAACACCTGTTCTTAGATAACACGCGTCTTAGCTAAGACGAGAAAAACTTCGTATAAATGACCTTAATATTTCGAGATGGTAACATACAAATTCGTTTACAAGACATAAGGATTACGAAAAAGTAAGTTAGAAAAATGTGTCATATGGGTGCATGGGAGCCCCACCTTACTACTAAACTATATCTCTCCTTTGGACGATACGATTTTCTGCTTCTTGGTCAGTTACTTTTGTTTTTTAAAAAGTCTGGTTCATCGGGATTCAAATTGGATATAAGTGGATCCTCCTTTTTTTCGCTATGAATAAAGGTTTGTTGATTCTTTTTGCATTTGACACATGACGTCCCGTCGGCTTCCTTACAGTCATTTGTGTGGTGCAATGTTCTTAAGCACTTTGTACATCTTTGATATCGTCCGACGATTTCCCAGTTATCTTTGACCGTTAAGACTTACTACAAACTGAACATGAAGCAAGTAGCTGTTAGGATGTGCACCCGAGGGGACATGATTCATCACCATTCGAATTAGCATCTTTGGCGTTAATTGCCGTTTGTCTTTCTTCCGGTCACCGCCCTTGAAGCTGCTGTTCTCAGTTTCCCTTTTACCCTGGATCGAAGTTTTACCTCCTGTGAAGCCAAGTGACTAGATCGGTCACCTTTGTTAATTTTTTTTTGTCGTTGCATTTCTCTGCCGAATTCTGCATTATCCTGGCTCTGAGTTTTGACATGAAAAATGGAGCTTCAGATGCTTCATGGATAGGAACGATCACTTCCATATTATTCACAAACGCCAAAACTGTAACGAATTATACGTACGTACTGTTATTAAGGGTGTCGGTTTCAGTTGCTTTGCTAAATTCATTTAAGAGTATGTACCTTAGACCCCGTTTCAACGGGTCGCGTCAAATTTTTCAACGTTCAAAACTTGCAAGGATCGATCTTTCGGGATTTCGGGACACGCGGAACCATGCAAGTTTTAGATCGGCAAAGCGTGCAAAATTTTGTAGCAGAATTAGCACGGTCCAGAGTAAACAGGTTGCACAGGTAAAATTCATCCGTTCAAAAATTTTTCCAGACCAGGGTAAACTGGGTCTCCCGATCTAAGACACTTTAAATGCAAAATCAACTGTAAATCAGTCATGTGTAAAAGCTACTCTTCAGTGGCTTTGAAACGAATGCATTGAAGATCAATATTCATCATCGTCAAATAGTGAAATACTCAAAACCTCTGGTAATTTCGAGGTGTTCAAGGTACTTGAAATGATTGCCGCGTGCTCTACAAGCAAAATTGCTGGCTGGTGGAGTGGTCAAGCAGTCTGGAGGTACTCACGGGCAACTAAACTTCAGAATACTCGGCAACTTATTAGCATATTAGCGAACAACAACAACTCTGCGTATTGTGTTAGCCGCCAGTGTTCAAAGCGTTCTAACATTGTGTATAATTGGGTGGCCAGGTATTCAGAAGTTGTTGTGGACGATAACAAAATGGACGTGAATTCAAACGAGACAGAAAGCGGTGGAGGGCATTTAACTCTAACACGACCCTACGTTGATAAACAAGGCGCAGTTAGCCTTGCACATTCATTATTCGGTCTTCGTATTTCAGACTTGTCAAAAGTCAAGGAATTTATCAGTTATGACGACCGCAATTTCTATTTGAAAGGTGTTCTGCCAAGCCAAGAGAGCAAAGAAGGGAATTCCGGTGAAGATGAATTCGTGTTGAAGATATTAAACCACGTCGATTCACAAAACATTTCATATATTAATGCACAAAACGTGCTTTTGCTTTATTTGAAAGAACATGGCTTCGTTTGCCCGGTTCCAATGAAGTCGTTAAGTGGTGAACTAACAATGGAATGCCAGCTATCCTCTTATGGTTTAAGTGGCAGTGAAGAAAACGCGAAAGAACAGGGGCTGCCTCCAAGAATTAATGCTGTTCGACTTCTGAGCTACGTACCTGGAAAGCTTCTCAAAGATGTTCGTTGCACAAAAGATCTTCTGTTCAGTCTGGGTCGTTACACAGCAAAGACAAATAAGGTTTTGAAGGTAAGATCCGTTTCTTATACGCAATGCGACTGGTTTTATAGTTATCGCAGATGAAATCAAAACATTAATTCCCTCGTGCATACAGAACATTTAAAAGGCAATGTTCATACTTACCCAAGTACTAGTGCCTTATAGGTACCAGCACAAATTGGTATTGTATTTACACCTCGAGTGACCATTAGGGCATTGTTCACACTTGCCTAAGTACTAATGCCTAGGTACCAGCACAAAGTGGTGTTATGTTCAAACATCGGGTACACAATGTATAACTGAGGGCATTTTTGCCCCACTTTGCTTGTTAGAGGCTACTTTAATATGTGACCGATGGGTATACAAAGCAGTGGATTGCTTTTAAGTAGAAAACGTGGGTATACAGGGCGTTGGTGGTACTCAACAACAACAACATCTTAAGTTTTATTTGCATTGGTATTGCAAAAGCTTTAACAAAAACTTACAATTTATAACTGATGATAATAATGCAATGCAATGATCACCACAGTCAACAAATTAGTACATAAATCATTGCATAATGAGAGAAATTTCAACAAAATTAATGTGAATTTACGGAAAAATTCTGTGAATTCATCAATTTAATTATTAATTCTGTGTAAGATAGCTGATTAAAGTCGAAAAACGTTTGTTGGATTTGATTGTAGAATTTCTCCCTTGGGATTAAATATTTTGGACAATGAAAGAGAAAATGAAATTCGTCTTCAATTGACCACTCCAGAAAATACCATAACAAACCATAATGCACTTTCTTTGTCACCCCAAAATTTTGCATAAGGATTGTTTTCAGTTTCTCTTGGGGCCATTTTAACTCCCGAGAAAAATTGAAGACAATGCTTTTGCAAAATTTTGGGGTGACAAACAAAGAGCATTATTAATAGTATGTTATGGTATTTTCTGGAGTGGTCAATTATACCAGAGTTACAAATAGGGCAGAATCTATCGTTGCGGGAAGTTTGATTATATCTTCCAGTTTCAATCATGAGTTTGTGGTTACTTATGCGAATTTTCACCAAGTCTTTCCTATTGGTTGAATTTCTAATTAAGTCTCGATAACTTGAAATTTTATAATTATGTTTTAATAAGCTGTAAAATTGCAGTTTCTTAGAATGATGGATCAATATAAAGTGATCTTGTGTACATTGGGCACTGTCACCTACATGTAGCCGAAAATCATTATTTTAGGCAAGTACAGGTGTAGTGGTGCCGTTTTCTATGGTTGGACAGCTTATGTTTATTACACAACGCTATACTCCTCGTAGCGAACCATTTATGCGAGTTTATTGGGCAGATTTTTTAGAAAAGGGGGAAATCAGAGTAAGAGACAGTTGTGCATGAGGGAAAAGAGTCAGTTGAATACAGGGTTAAGCACCGAAGTACAGTGATTATGGTTGAGCACTCTTTTTAGCTTAGACGGTTAGCTTTCTATATCGTAATGATCAATTCCATGATTAGCTTTTGTCGGCTGCTAGCCCTTGATGGTGTAGTGGGTACGAATGTGGATTATACATCAAAAACGGCTTGGAAACTAAAATTCGATAGCATTTTGTTTTGAATGAGGGTATGGGCATGATTTTCAGTTGAACATGCCTAGCTAGCGTAAAAATCGCATCGAGTCTAAGGCTTAATTAGAGAGGGAAAATTTTATATATTTAGGCATGACAAAATTCAAGGGAACATTGGTTCTTAGAAACAACATCTCATAGGCATGGAAAAAATGGGTTCATGCCCTCCCATCCCAAAATTGACCTAGCTAAACTTAGGTCCCAGATCTCTCGCCGGGTTGATAATTCATTTCCAGTTTTTGCTCGCCTGGTTTGGCATGCCGGGCATGCCGATAGTGAAGCCAGTTGTGTTTGGCATGCCCGGCATGCCGGGTATGAAATTGGAATGCCCAGCGTGACTGATTTTGATGTTCTTTCCAGCATCATGTCCTGAGAATCATATAATCGCTAAATATATCTTAGGGAGCTTGAAGTTACAGGTTTCATGCCCGGCAATAAATGCAGATTATAACAAAAAAAGTCATGTTTGTCACAATGTATGTCACGGGATCGACTGGCAAAACTGAAGACAGCAGCCTGGATTTATAAATAAAAGCACAACAAAACGACATTATTCATGCATAAAATAGAATACTTAACTTGCAATCAAAGATTAATCCTTTTATTTCAAACCGATACTGACATTTCTGGGTCCAGATTTAAATTTGATCGCGGAAAAGCGTCTTAAACAATAAGATAACAAATCTTCTCAGTATAAACTTATCCATGCTTAAGTTTTATCGCGTCGGAATGTTTCCCGGTCAACAGCATTAAAAGACTGGTGAAAATTAAGCTTACCAGGTCGTTCAAGTCAGTACGAGAGTACGACGTTGATACTGCAAAGACGTTCTGATTTGGTGAATTTGGACTGCCTTCTCAGAGAGATTTTGCTTAGTTTTTCAGTGCGCTCCTTGTCGGCTATGCGAATCTCGCAAACTGTTTTACTCCTTGCTGACGATAGTCCTTTGAGCAACGTCATCTACGTCATCCGAAGATACCCCGAGCACGCACGAAATCGGCCAAATTTCCGCAGAAGTGTTTTCGGATGACGATGAATCTAGTTTGTTGTAGCGTGGCAGTTGTGGCGTCACGATTTCGTCATGTCTCTTCGCACTTGTTTGTCTTTTTTTTTCTGCGGTGCATGGTTGAGATGTTGGTGAATGCTGGACAAGAAATGGATTCTGCGAGAGACTGTAAGTACAAATTTAGTATTAATTTGGTAAAGAAAAAGCCTTAATATCGAACAAATCCCGTGAATTAGCCTTCTGGCATTCAGTTTATCATGCTGTTGAGCATGCCTAAGAACTGCAGTATAAGTGGTTGTCAACTCGTTCACTTCGGATTGTTTCTGTTTGTATATCTTGTAATCTTCTTCTGCTGCTAAGAAGACTAGAGAAAACTTCAAAAATAAGAAACCAAAGCTAAAAAAAGTCAGATCTAATTTTATAGCTCGAGTATAATTATTTTTGGCACCTACGGTCATATTTTTTCCCTGTACTGGTAAAGTTACTTATTTTTGCTGCATAGATTGACTGTTGTTTGAAAGACAATCAAACGGATATTACAATCACTTTTGGAGACAAAATTAAATAAAAATATCCGTAAATCAAATGCCAAAATCAGATTTGGATTTCGCTTTAAAAAAATGAACATGCTGCGTGTGTCCATGCAAAGTTGTAAACAACTCAATATAAGCAGTGTGTGAATGTGCGTTTAGGTGCACAAAACTAATTTTTCTTTTGGACATCTCATCCAAGCAAAGACTTAAGGCTTACATTGCTTGTCTACGAGTGTACTACAAAATGCTTTGCTACAGTAAGCCTCTGAGAGGCGATTCTGGTAAATTTATAGGACGCTAAAATGCAAATAATTCTAAGCTTAAACAACCTGGCTGGGTCCGACTTTTGAATTACAAAATGTTCACGTTTGCCGGCTCTACTTTAAATGAACATGGTTTTTGAAATGATTTTGTACTATTTTAACCCGAAAATTATGATTGGGTTATAAAGCTTTTAAAACGGACGAAAACTAAGCTAATAAACATGTTCAATAAAAAAACTAAGATTTAGTCGCTTTTTCAACTTTGTTTTGTGGGCCGAAAAATTTACCTTCACGCAAAGACAAAAGCAAACAATGAGGCTTTTATTCGACATATTTTCTGAGAATTTTATCTGATCAATTTAATGTCACTAGCATTGTTTTCGTATAGGAATTTTCCTAATTATGTGAGCTTTTAATTTGATAATTTTGATACTCTATAAACTTCTCATTTGATAGCCTCACTTTTTTATACACCGATTGAGAAACAAATTCGCTCTCGTTAAATCCTATTTTATGACCTATTTATTAGAACTCTAGGTAACATACGAAATGATGTAACCGGACAGGCTTTAACCTTTGGTCCTAATTTATTTTTTCTTTGCAACCCCTAATCAGTTGACGGGCCGTGAGAGAATATCGCCACAAAAAGATGCGAAAAAGTTTTCGCTGAGTTTCCTTTACATATTCCGGCTTTATATGGGTCTACACCTTACCTGCTTAAAAATGAAACTGTTGTTCAATTAAGTTTCAGTCAAACTCGGTATAATCTTGACTTGCAAATCCAAATGCAAAGGTTTATTTCGCAGTAGAAAAGCGTGTAAACATCATCGAACAGCGCAATGTAAATTGGCTAATGTGAAACCACGTTTCTTTCACTTTATTTACCATGCATTTATCTCAATTGCACACTCTTGTGAAATTAGCCTCAGGCAATTAGTTGCGACCTTTAACAGACTCAACAAGCCAGTATGAAAATATGTTAAGAGAAGCTGAGCTCTACATGTTCTTTTTTTTTTTTTTTCATATTGCCCTTGCATGTGTTAACATTCCATTTCTTTTTTGTTACAGGTAACTTCCAGACATGACGAGGAGATAATTACTTTTCTAGAGAGCAATTCTTTGGTACTGTCAGTTATCACTGACTTACTTTGAGTTAAAAACAAAGAACACAGACACTGGTAATGACACAAAAAGATTAATCCCTGGCAAGCCTACAAAAAAAGAAAGAGGAACTCAGACTCCTTATCAAAATGTGAAACAACATAAAAGCAGCTTTTCTAACGTAGGGAAAATTGCGTTAGAGAGATTTGTAATTGCAACGTTATATTCACGCACATTGCATTGTCAAACATCATAATTTACTGAATAATGAACAGTGATTTTGGGGCTTAGCTCAGTTTGTAATGAACTTTGAAAGATATTCTATAACCTTGTATTTTTAAAAGCTTTCATGGAACATAGATGCATTTTATTATACAATGAAAATAGTCTCTGTCTCTCTTTTTACTGATTTTAGTCAATTCCATTTTATGCGCAATGTGAAATGGGAATCCTATTAAAGACTCATCAAAAGGGGTGAGGAGTTTTTACAATCCCTCAACAGGTCATCTCCACGATGACGCTGTTTTATTACTACGGCAGAATCCCTCAGGGTTTTACTTTCTTATTTAAACTTCGAAAAAATTAGAAAATGAAAGGAATAGCTTTTGTTATTTAAACTTGATCTGGGACAACCAAATCTATGAAAATGAAAGGAATAGCAATGACGTCATCGTGCGCAACCGTTCGATTTGAAATCAAAAGATAAAATTGCTGTGATCTGTTTATCCATTTTTTTTTTTTTTTATTTTATTGCCAGGCTTAAAATATCTCATTTTGTATTCGATTCATATATACAACAAAAATAGGCGATTTAAAACAGAAATGAACGATTTGGAACAGATGCGATTTGGGTCTGAAAATCATACGCGTGATTTCAAAATGGATGAACGAGAACTGCAGCGCGAGTTCGATTTCAAATCAACGAGCGCGCAGCGCGATTTCGATTTGAAATCAGACCAAAAAATTGCAGGACACGAAGTTCAATTACCACTTTATTACATCCATTTTGAAATCGCAAAATTTAGTCAGTACTAATATTTTATTGATCAAGTAGCCAGTTTGTTAAAAAGCCGAAACAAAAAGGCTTTTACATCTCATTTTGTCTTCGAAACAGAAATAATGCGATATAGAACAAAAATGGTGCGATTTAAAACAGAAATGATGCGATTTAGAACATGAATGACGCAATTTGGAACAGATGCGATTTAGAGCAAAAAATGGTGCGATTTAGGAATAAATCACACTGCTGAGAGCCAATAAGATTGCACGGATAGCCAGTGATTTCAAAGTGGATGTAATAAAAGGAATTATAACCCGTGCGTTGAGAGCATGCCAGAGACCGATTTTTGGCATGCCCGGCATGACCCAGATTATGGCACGCCCGGCATTCCGGAGAATTTAGCATGCCGGGCATGTCAGAAAATTTGGCATGCCCGGCATGCGGGAGATTTTGCTGGGTATGAATTACTTATTACTAGAACCTAGGCTTCTCGCGGCCTGGGTGAGAAGGTTACAGAACCTCAAATTATGCTTACAGGGCATGCGAAATTCTGTTGCATGCCAATTTCAATGCAAACCCACTCTGGGGCCACCCCCTCTATTACCAGTGAGCAAATCATTGACGATAGGCATGCGAAAAATCCTTGCATGCTAACCAACCATGAAAACATAGCAGAAATGTCCTCAATTGCTGAGTCATGCCCCAGGGGAGGCTTTAAAATACAGAATTTCCTGACATGGATGAGGGAATTTTCTGTAAACAGCATGTGATCATGCCGGCTAGGACGTATTGCCTCCGTATTGCCCCTTTTTACAGCTAGCTAGGCTCACTTTTAGGTTCCATGGCCTGAAATGACGTAAAATTCATGCCCTAAATGTAAAAAGTCCAAAAACGTCCTCGAAATTTTAGTTTCCAAGCCGTTCAAATCACGCGGGTTCAAGTCCTACATACCCCCTACTGTTTTCTTTCATTTTCTTTCTTCTCTTATTTACTACTTTAAGTTAAAAGCCCGAGCCTCCTATCATAAATTTTAGTAAAGATGATAATCTGATTTTGGGGTATCTATTCTAGTCACAACCGTTTTCTATGCAAAGCCATTTGAATGATACCCAGTCGCTTCTCAGTATTCGCGTTGTGATCATTGGAACGATTTAGTGAGTTCGAGATGCATCAAGCTAGGAAGGGAGAAGGAAGGAAGAAAAACGCCTTTGCGCCTTTCAATTTTCCTTTTCAAATTCCTTTGCGAAAATAAATCGACTGGGTATATACGAGTCTGGTTGAATTATCAAATTATTGTACCCTTAACAAACCTAATATTTCAATAACTGGCAATAGGTAGTGTCAAAAGAAAACCCATTCAAGGCGGGGAGAGCCTTCTTTGTCTATCACAGATTAAACCAAGGGAAATGTGGATGAGACTACGTAACAACTGAAAATTTCTTTCTTTGCGTCTGCTTCCCATAATCGACCCGCCAACCCCCATCTCTGTAATATAAGTAGCTCCACCTTTTCCCTCCTCATTTTAGATTTGGAGGTTGGGTAGCATGGGGAGCAAGCTTTCCTAAGACTACGGGGGCGGCCCCGTCGCCAGAGCGTCCCTGTGAGCTTGCTCGCGGGCTGAAGGTTGGGCTTTGAACCTGGTAGGGTCGCCTTAGTTATTTTTTCAATTAGTACCAGGATCTTAACGTCAGGTGGTAACACTACGAGGTAGGTGATTTATAGGCTACAAAAACTGGTGATGAAATATCATGTGAGTAATGCGGTTGTTCTCTTTATCCAGAGTTTTCAACATGCTGGCCTCAGTGATCTAGTGAAACAAGAATGGGACTTGGCTCAGTTAAATATCCTTGAAAGATACATATCTGTTGCAAGCCATGATTCTTCTGAATTTGAACTTCTTCAACATGTCTACAAAAAGTTTGTCAATGGAGTCATCCCAAAGCTTGGTTATCTAGATAAACAGGTTATCCATGGTGACCTCAATGATAAGAACATACTTGTCCTTCCAAATCGGCGTGGTAAACGTCATACAATAAGCTTTCTTGATTATGGGGATACCTCAAATTCTTACAGAGTGTTTGAAGTTGCGATTTGCATGATGTATATGATAATGCTCCGAGTCGAACAAGGTGATTCACATGAGGAAGCCATCAGAGCTGCTGGTCACGTGTTGAGAGGTTATCAAAGTGTTTACAGCCTCTCTCCCTCTGAGCTTGACCTTTTGTATTGGTCAGTTGCTGCCAGGTTTTTCCAATCGATTGTGATTGGAATGTACAAACAGTCCCTTGAACCAGAGAATATATACTTAAGCCAAACTTGCCAATTAGGATTAAGCATCCTCTCTTCGTATACTTCTGCACCTGAAAAAGAAATCCTTAATTCTTGGCTGTCAACTGACATGCTTGGTCCAGTGCATTTCAAGTAAAATTCGATTTTCGTATTATAATCTTTATCAAGTTTGATTCTGTCTTGATTTTGAAGGTTCCTTGAAAGACAGGCTCTCTCAATTTTTTGTAAATATACTATGTATTTTCGTATTTTGAAATACAGATGGCAGAACGTAAAAAGGAACACGAAACAGTTTTGCAAATTATCAGATTGAATTATTTTAGCCTTTTTCATTATAGAACCTTGGACATTCATAGGCTTGCCAGGATGAATTATATCATGTAACTAAAGCTGAGGGCAGCGCTGCCTGAATGAAATGTATGAAGTATGATTTAGATTATAACTTACAATACAATCAAAAAACAATAATCTAAGCCACGCATGATGCTTCATCAAGAAAATTGTAATTTTGTAAACTGTAATTTGTTTACCCACGGAGCACTAAGGAGTTCATGAGAACTCGTTGAAACGTGTCCGTGCGTTCCAGATCGAATTGGAATTTGAAAGTGTTGGTTTTTAAGGAGGGGGGAAAACCGGAGTACCCGGAGAAAAACCTCTCGGAGCAAGGGACAGAACCAACAACAAATTCAACCCACATATGGCGTCAACGCCAGGATTCGAACCCGGGCCACATTTGTGGGAGGTGAGTGCTCTCACCACTGCGTCACCCTTGCTCCCTTAAGAAGAGTGGGAAATGAACCTTTTCTTGTCTTTCTTTATTCTTTCCTTGTTCTTCTTCTTCCTTGTTCTCCCTCTTTTGACTTGCTCCCCATTGATAATGATCAGAATATTATGTCGACTAATCGTCTCATATACAGTTGAACCCTGGAACTCGAACTTTGAAGGGAAACGAAAATCAGTTCGAGTTAGCGAGGGTTGAAATTTTCGGGGTCGCTTACAAAATTCAAGTGTGATTTTTCAGCACTTCCGGCATTGTATAGTGCTACTGCAGTGCAAGTTTAATTCATTTTTATCAGAAACTGTAACATGAAAAGGCATTTTTTATGATAAAACGTGATCTGTTCGTTGTACCAGTTAAAATCAAATTGCTGTAATTAAGTGTTAACCAGTCTTAGTGTTTTTACCGATTATAGCCGAGCTCTCGCGCGCGAAGCGCGCCAGCGGAGTACCATGGGTAAGAAAATGAAGTAATCTACCTATCCGAGAAAATCTGGTAATTTTCTGGAGTGGTCAATTATACCAGAGTTACAAATAGGGCAGAATCTATCTTACCTTTATAATTTTAATTACAAACAAGAACATGGTCCACTGCAGATGTTCGGTCCTGCAAATGGAGTAGGTAACTATCTAGCACTGGAAAAGATTTATTGTATGTTAATTCTTCGAATTCGTGCGTTTTCGCCACCTGAATTACAGGGACAAAGAATTATCTCAAAAAGGGGAGAGGGGAGGTCATGGGCACCCCAGGACTCCCATAGCTACGCCTCCGCAAATAAACATAACTGTAAAAAGGGTTGCGCTTTACCGTAGCTGAAATATTCTTTGTTTGAAAACTAGAATCCAATTGAAAGTACTTCATACAGAGCAGCGGCTTAATCAAATCCCAGGCTTCACCAAAAAACGTGGTACAAGAGAGTTAGTTGCAGTAGCCCCCTTAAGCTTTGATGACAGAGTATAGGTAAAAGATAGCCGGATAAGTTATATTAAGTACATATTGACTCGCTATTCGCCATAAAGGAGCGAAAAGCTGGGTACAATATGCGACCGCAAAGCTTCTTGGGATCTTTAGGGGGGACAGCGTGAAGGTTAACAAACATGGCGCACTACAAAGTACTTTGTTCGAAACAGCAATAATAGTTTCAGAAATGCCTCACTTCGCTATGTTTTTGCTGTCCTTTCAGGTGATCCCTAGAGTCTTCGTGGTCATAAGTCGTATCAGTTGTCCGCTCATTTAGAACACGGATGAATAGCATAAGTTTGATATTCACCATTTTCACGTGGACCCCCAACATTTTGTGTAATCTTTGTCTTCTTTTTCTCTTAGGACGATTGTAATACCCAGGCTAAATTGAAAACGATGAGTCATGTTGAAACTGTAAGACTTCGCCTCACTGAACCCAGACGCGAAAGACTGAGTCTTTATCAGCTGTGACAAAAACCGTAGATAGACTTTGCCACCTGAGACCATATGCAACTAAAGGTGATATTACACTAGACGATTCGCAACGACGATTTTCGAGCGCAACACAGCGTTGCAACATTATTGCGACATTGTTTCAAATGGTTACAACACTGTTCCAACATTGCAACGCTGTGTTGCGCTAAAATCGTCGTTGCGAATCGTCCCGTGTAACATCACCTTAAGTTACGGAAAAACGGGCAACAAAAAAACACGCAACTTGTCTCGCAACATTGCTAGAACAGGAGTAGAATACAGCGATGTCAGTTGCGGGTTTTATTACCCACATCAAGCCTCATTCTTGCAACAAATCAGGTTGTCAACAGGTTTGAACTTGGGTTGAAAAAGGTGCAACATCGCTTTTCAACTCCTTTAGCTTCGTTTTCCAGCAATGTTGCAAGACATGATGCACGTTTTTATTGCCCGTTTTACCAAAACTTAAGGCGAGTGGCAAAGATGATATTTCGTGTAGTGGTTCAACAAGCTGCAATATGGTGCAACATTTGTTGAGGAAAAAAAAACAAACGACGTTGAACCGTTAATTATTTGCAATGATGTCAGGGCTTGACGAAGGCTCCCCCACAGCAAAGTTTCAGCATCCATTCTTAATGTTTTAAAATTCTTCTCTCTGAATGTATACCCTCTTACTTTTGTTTAATTCTTTACATTGTTTTCCAGGTATATGCTATTTTAAGCGCGGCAATTATTTATATTTTAATGAAATCACAGACAGCTTTACTAAATATAGTTCAAAACTGTTAAAAATGTTGTAACCCGTAAAATATAATCACGGAAAAGCCGGCGATTCAATTTTAGACCTTTACAGCCAACACTGGCCGGCGATTTTGTGCATGATAACGATCTTAGCATCAAATACATGTATCATTGATAGAACGCTAAAAGCCACTACCAAAGATTCGTGTGATACACTGTTTTTTATATATAAGAAAGTTCTTTTTCCGGCCCAGGCTGAATATTCTTGTTATTGTGCCATTTTTAGGCTGAAAATACTCTTGTTTTATTCTTAAAAAGAAAGAATTTATCCTGACTCTCTTTGTACCGTCCATCAAACTGTCATTAACATTGAACATTTGGTTAGAGCTAAATGCAGCTTTTTCAGTTTGTTTGCTAATTTTGCCGCTTAGGCAAATGAAACACATAGTTTTCCTGGCCAAATCTCCGCGAGGATCGATAGAAAATTTAAACTTAGACAGGAAACTTTGACGTGTTGTAATGATATGAAACGTTTCCATTAGTTCCATACACCAAGTATTGGTTTATTCTCGCAAGCTCTCCACTTGCAAACCCGAGCCTGTGGCAGGTGTTCAGATGGTGGGGAAGGCGTGAATAGAGAGCCCGGGAGAACAACTCAACAAAAATTGATACAGGGGGACCCAGCCCCGTGGTCCTACTCCTTATGCTCTTTCCTATACGTTTCATTCAAAAATGGGACCCATTTAACATACCTGAATGTATATAATAAGAAAAAATTGTCTTCTTGTCATTTTCGTGTAACTTTTAATAAATTAAAACAAGGGAGGATGAAAGTACCTCTCTTGATCAAAATGAGATAGCAATAATGTGCGTCTATTCGAAATATTTTAATGAAGGAACCTTTAAATACTTTAATGATAGATTACCTTGTCCTTTCATATACTTTAACTCGTGAATTCTCCATAATAATAATACACTTTATTTAATGAGGGTAGCACGGAATAGTTACAGAAACTAGTAAACGTGTGGCCCATTTCGGTCTTTATAGGGCCAAGATGTTTAGTCGATAGGCGGCTTATGACTATCAGACATTACCAACTACATTAACTTTGATCGTAAATGACTCCACTTTCCTCCACCCCATTTACACTATCATTTTATAATTCGCGCCATATACTCTGTCTGAGGGATCAACGAAAAAAAAAAAAATGATGAGTTTGTTGTCATATCCCTCAGGGTTTCGATCTTTTCGGTTACCCCACCACTTTGTCCAAAGTAGTTTATATGCCGCCTTGCCTGCATCAGCCACAATTCACTTCCCGTGAGCGTCTTGGAATTTTACTAAGTTAGTTGATAGCCCGGGGGGCGGGGGCACTCCCTTACAAGAGCCTATTAGGGATGTGTCGCTGGATGGGGTCGCATTTTCACGACTGGAGTGAGTATAATGGGGTCGCATTTTTAATAGAGTTACTAGAATGCGGTTGCAAATTTTCGGATTTTTGGGGTAAGTAGGGATTCAAAATGGGAAGATTCTCGGTTAAAAAATCAGAAAGTTGTTGTTTATTAAATTTAACCAATAAGCTCGCATTGACCGCATTTCATTCCGCCGCTTGAAACCACATTGATACGGTAGATGCATAAATAGAAAGTGACTAAGTTGGGATCGCGAAAATTACATTTTCCAAAAAGTGACTAAGATAGGGTCTATAATTGGCCAAAAAAATAGACTATAATGGGCTAGGGGCTCTGAGAGGCCAGCGGCACACACCCAGCAAACATTAATCCAAGTACCCCCCTCACCCCCTGGGTTGATAGCCTGCGCGGCAAGCCACTCAGTGTACGCCGTTTGAAGTACGCTCAGTTTACGCTAATGGAGGGTCTTAACATAGTGAAACAATGTTTTACTTGCGTTCAGGCAAGTTGAAAATAGGGCAAGAGTTCTGAGTTTTCGATTTTCAGTCTTACTGTACAAATTCCCCATGGCGAGTTAACAGGAAAGTGCACTGTTCACAGTCGCCTGATTTTAGTAAAATCGTCGCGATCGAAAGCTCTCCGTTATGCTGGTGGCCATCTTGGTTTCAAATGCACTGCGGAGGCGGACTCTTGGCTTTATAGCGGTAGAGGTAGAAAGGCGTAAAAATTTCTTCAAAATAACCAAACATTCACTGTCAGTTTGAGAAGAA